CATAGCATTGTAAACCTTACTGAAGCCATATGTATCCGATGCCTGGCTCTAGTGAGAAAGCAGTTTGACGCAGGCTCGCAAACTATGATTGAATCAGGGAGTGGTGGAAAGTCACATTATACCTCTTCATGACTAGCTGGTAATGGCGACGATGCGGCTCCGGCTGGGTCTCATGGGAAAGTAACTTGCATACCTGTTTAGTTGCAACGAGGCAACGGTACCCCATGTACTAAAGACATGATTGAACTACATTTCATCTCCTCCTGGGAGAATGTGGAACAAATAATGCCAGAGTGTGTCTGATACACATCACAGTCTGCTGAGTATGTTCATTATTGTGGACGTAACATAACTGCGCTGTGAGGTACCTTCTGCGTTGGACCTACAGTTGAGCCACTACTCTTCTTACAAATTCCGTACAACGGTGAAAGGATTTGTTGGAGCATCATCAAACAGTGCATTCGCCTTCATCATACACTGGCTCCGTTGCCTACAGTAATTCACATCTTGACGGGGCGCGCTGGGACGATACGGAAGGAGCGGCGGGAACCATTGGAGTGCTCATGATGCTGGTTAGCGGAGACGGATGTGAGTGTCAGGAACGGGAACGCAACCGCACTTCTGTACAGATCAGGAAGCGATGGAAGAGTTGAATCTGTTCAGCCTTCCATGCCGTGTACAGGGGCACAAGCGTAAACATGGCTACATTTCGAATGTGAACTGGCGATGGCATTGTGTGGTGACGAACACAACTACAACTGTTCAAATTTCAGCATTTCGAACATTATGCTTCCCACCGAATGGCTCACATGACGGAGTTGGACATTACCAGGCTAGGATTATCATTTGCTGTATTTATGGATAGTCCTTGAGTTTTCAGATGAAGTGCTTTATCTTTTACCTGTCGTTCCTTTAGTGTGGCACAATGTCCATGGCTGCTTTCTTGTCTTCATAACAGACTGGTATAATCAGCATGATTCTGCTTTATTAGAATAGAAATAAAAATTTCCTTTCGAAAAGGAAGCCCAGAAACGTCAACCCCCATGGACTGTGCTTTATGACTCTCGTCCATCGACGTTAACCGTCGCAATACCGTCGCAATAACTGCTGCATGTATGTTGTGCTGTGCGAACCGTACAAGATTTTAACAGCTCACCCACGCCTTCCCAACAGGCTCCTATATCCCGTACCGATAGCGTTACATTGAATATGAACTAGGCTAGCACAGTTATCCTTCGTTCTTTTGATGGCGGCGGGTAGCATGGAACTTGACGTGTTCTTGGGATCCTCGTGCAACACTTGCTGTTCCCGGATGCCATATTATTGGGTGCATCGAGGTTGCTTCTATGCTCACTGTTGTTTAGTAAGACAATTTTTTAATAACTATTTCACCAAAGAATATGGCAAGAGTATTTTGGGTTGGTTTGAACGCCTGGCTTCTCTTCACATAATAATTATACAGTCATGTACTTCCACTAACCCTACAAGTGCACATGACTCATGAGCTGCTGTCGTGCTGAAGACAGTGACGGTACTGATCATGTACATTGTACATCATGTACATGCCGTGCACCGTTCATTCATGCTGACAAAAAAAGTACACTACAGACGGTGTAGGGTGCCCGCAGTGTCGCCTGGGTGCACAGGCCCCGTCTCACTCGCGGCTCGGATCTTTGTGCAAGTCATCTATTACAACTAGGCTAGGCCATGGCATAGGAGGAGCCGCAAAATACCAGGCGAATACAATCAATTATTGTAGTTCAGTTCAAGGATACAGTCATGTAAAAATAATTTTTGAGTTTGCGCTGAGACGCTCCCTTCCTACTTGAATCCCAATCGAACTCGCGCACTTCCACCGAAACTAGGTGACTGCGCCCTACTAGATGGGGATTTGTATGCAAAATGTCACTAAAAGCGCCATTTCGTTCTTATAAAAGCACGGATGACCGCGATTGGCCCATATGTTGTAGTCTTTAGGACGCTGGGTCGACTGGTTTTGGTCCGAAAAGGCTGCGATGCAGCGTTCCTCCTGTATTCCCAATCGAACATGGTTGAACAAGCGGTCACGTGCTCCTGCGTACGCCAGTCACCTGGTCACCGTGCCTGCAGGGTACAACTACTTACTAGCCTGTTTGACCTTTTTTGGGTGCAGTCCTGTCACTCGAGTTGAACTCGAGTTGAACCTTGGTGTGAAAGTAACAGTTGTCGCCTGCTGGCGTGGTGACCAGGTGATTTGGGCACCCAGGAGCACGTGACCGCTTGTTCAACCATGTTCGATTGGGAATAAAGGAGGAACGCTGCATCGCAGCCTTTTCGGACCAAAACCAGTCGACTCAGCGTCCAAAAGACTACAACATATGGGCCAATCGCGGTCATCCGTGCTTTTATAAGAACGAAATGGCGCTTTTAGTGACATTTTGCATACAAATCCCCATCTAGGTATATACCAGATATACAGAAGCCTTGCTTGGTAGTTTTATACATGTTTTTCGATTTTGACAGCATGTTACAAGGCGAGGACGCGTAGTGCTCCTGACTACAATGGTCGCAAGACCGGGACTCTGCCAACCGGTTTATGGTTGTAGTCAGGAGCACTACGCGTCCTCGCCTTGTAACATGCTGTCAAAATCGAAAAACAAATCCCCATCTACATGTAGTAGGGCGCAGTCACCCAGTTTCGGTGGAAGTGCGCGAGTTCGATTGGGATTCAAGTAGGAAGGGAGCGTCTCAGCTTTCTCGGACCAAGACCATTCGACTCAGCACCCCGAAGACTACAACTGGTGAAATTTTAATTTTTGCCTTAACTTCCCCTTTAAAAATCTACATGTGACCATGGTGACAAGTCGATCCGATCCGAGTGTGTTTTCAACTGACACAACATTAATAAGTATTTTTTACTAATGACTAATGTAATTGTTACTTGACAAGACAACCTTCTTATGGCAGAACCACAAGACCTAATACTGTAATAGCAATACTAGCGACTAGGCAGTTGAGTAGGCTATAGGCTAGGGTTCCGAGCTCAGAAACTGCAGTAATCATGGTAATTACTTCCGAAAAAAAGTATAGCATTCCTACATGATGGTGAAAAAGAAGGACAAAATGTTACGAGTTGCGACTAACTGTCCACCAACGTAACCAGATCTTATACAGTCGCTTTCGTCCTTCTTCTTTTTCACCATAATTTAATTGGCTCACCATCCGAGTTGAACATTACACTTCGGAGCTCCGGCTTCGAATGTGACAGTGTGTTTGGCCTAATTCGCTCCTAAAACCATAGCAATTCAAAGAAAATTTTCAAACTCCGCCACCATTATTACTCCCGAACTCCAGACCTTCTTTGGCCTTTTTCTTTGCTCCACATGGTGGACGTTTCTTCTTCGATTTATTTTTGAGTTATTGCAGTTTGTAGTCCGATTTGTGGCGTGCCCCTTTCCGGTGACATGGATGGGGTTATGGATGATGGTACCCTGGAAAGTTCCAGTGGTGACCAGGTTCCGAGCGGCTCTGGGGCCAGTTCAGCGAGATCTGGGTCACTCAGGGCGTCTGCTCCTGAAAATTTGGCTTCTGAGGATCAGCGAGATCTTCTTGCCGCCGGGCCTCCGGCTCAGGCATTGGAGCCTTCTGTCAGTTCGGAAGATCAGCGAGATCTTACCCTGACTATGACCATGATGACTAAGCCTCAGGCTTTTGATCCACGTGCCGAGGTGGACACATCCGGCAAGTACCTTATACGAGCTCCGGCTCCGTCTGTCATCACAGACTACATAGAAACCAGGGAGTCGTATAGACCCGGGAGGCGACACGCGCATCACTTGTGCACGACCATGATCGACTCAACGATTCAAAATATTACGACCTGCTCGGTGTGGGACACGTCCGTACATAGGTCATAGCGCCCGGGAAATCCGTACATAGCGTCGTCTTCGTCCTTTCGCTGAACAATTCTGGTCAGACTTTCGATCTCCATTGCCGAAATACAGCCATCTGTGGCCATCGCTGAGGAGTTCACTAATAAAGGGTCTTGTTCACTGGCTTACTCACTGGCTTTGCACTGCCACTCGAACTCTGAGGCACTTTGACCACCTAAGATGAGGTAATCCTTTCTTTACAAATTGCCTCAATATTTTCTCACCTTTAGGGCAATGAAGTAATTTTTTTCCTCGTGACTAACTTCGACCGACCAAGTTGCCCTGTCCCAGTGATCTACAATACTTATATTGCACATCTGTGAAATATTGGACCTATCCAGATAAACGAAATGACTTATATTCGAAATTACATTTTCCAAAGTTTTCCTTCACAAATAGTCCCAATTTGTTCTCACCTTTAGGGCAATGAAGTAATTTTTTTCCTCGTGACTAACTTCGACCGACCAAGTTGCCCTGTCTCAGTGATCTACAATACTTATATTGCACATCTGTGAAATATTGGACCTATCCAGATAAACGAAATGACTTATATTCGAAATTACATTTTCCAAAGTTTTCCTTCACAAATTGTCCCAATTTGTTCTCACCTTTAGGGCAATGAAGTAATTTTTTTCCTCGTGACTGACTTCGACAGACCAAGTTGCCCTGTCCCAGTGATCTACAATACTTATATTGCACATTTGTGAAATATTGGACCTATCCAGATAAACGAAATGACTTTTATTCGAAATTACATTTTCCAAAGTTTTCCTTCACAAATAGTCCCAATTTCTTCTCACATTTAGGGCAATGAAGTCAATTTTTCTTCAGGACTAACATCGGCTAACAAAGTGGCGCTGTCCCAGTGATCTACAATACTTATAATCATTGCACATGTGAAATATTGGGAGTCACAGAGTGAGGAAATGGCCTAAATTGAAACTTGAACTGTTCTGCCAAGTTTTATGCAGTGAACGCAGGGCTGAGAGCCCACAAGAGCCATCCCGGGAGATCTTGTGCGCCACCAACCGAACCTTCGGTGAATGTTCACAAGGTTAGAAGCTCGCACAGATAACACACAGTGGATGCTAATAGTAATACAATGCACTCAGGAATGTGTGCAAATACGACAGAATTAATTCCAAATAAAGTCAACAATAGCTGCCTCAACACAGTGCTATCAACCTTCCGTATTTTCCATATTTGTACGGAAAATCACTACTTCGTCCACGCTATGGATTTTGAGAAAAACGTACGGAAAATTGAACGGGATTGATCAGTATGTATAAGCATTGCAAGTGCAAGCTGAGCGATGAAAAGAAGAGAACCGAGTGGAAAGAAAACGCTGCAGTGGAGAGTCCTTAGAAAAGACTTAAAAAATATCAATAATATCGCTGCACGAGATCATCCTTATAAGTTATAACGTCAGCTGATCGTACTGTGGTTGATTCATACGGCGGTAAATACACACCTGCCTACACACGCTCTCTAAACTGAAAAGTTATTCTGGCACAGAGCTCTCCTTCCCGCCACCACCACCATCATCAGTTCGCGTCTGGCGCCTAGTCGATGCAGGGTGAGTGGTGTCCGACATAGCAGGTTGGTACATCAGGTAGCGTATGGCGCATAGCAGATGACACAGCAACAACATAGCTTGATTGCGACGTACCTTTCGTCCCGGCTGGACTCATCAGGCAATCTTCTTCTTAGATGAAGGAGCTTGACTCGGGAGAATGAAGTTGAAGACTCCACTGCAACTGCACTTATGGTTGGTTCATATGGTGGTAAATACACACCTGGCAATATGGGGGTAAATACACGCCTGCCCAGACACGCTCTCTAAACTGCAAAGTTATTCTGGCACAGAGCTCTCCTTCTTACCACCACCACCACCACCACCACCATCAGTTCACGCCTGGCGCCTAGTCGATGCATGGTTAGCGGTATCCGACATAGCAGGCTGGCACATCAGGTAACGCATGGCAAATAGAAGATGGCAACGACATAGCTTGATTGCGACGTACATTTCGTTCTCTCGGTTGTGCTGTAGCCTGAAAAAGGAAATAAGACAATGCATCCACATGACACAGACAAGTAATTACTGTTACAAATAATGCATACTGCTTGATAACAGAGAAAGAAAGTCAGTGGTCACACAAGTTTTTGGTCGTCCCTGAAACGAAGATCGTTCCAGGGGGGGGGGGGGGGGGGGGAGCTAAAATCTCAGTCGACTGACGCTATGCATACACATGTACATGCATGCGATTTTCGTCGTCCATTCATTTCGGAGGGTGGAGAGGAGGTCCAAGTACGAAATGAATGATGTTTTTTTGCAGGGATGACTAATCACTTTTGCGATGACCCCTTATTGCATCAATTTATCGTCTGAACTGCGCAATTGAGTCCCACTTTTATTATGTTGGGTCCAGATTTCAAGACTCGTGAAGTTCGAGGCGAAAAGCAGGCCGCTGAAAGGACGCCAGTAATTCAGTCTAGTCCGGTGTCATGGAGAGGGGCCGATGAACCGGCAACAAGAGAATTCAATACGCATGCTACTCTTCAGTTCATTGCTGGGGAAGACTACTCAAGGCCACGTCACTCCGGCAATTTAATGTACAAATCAGCAGCAACACTTGCAAACGTATTCCTACCAGCTGACCAGCAAGTTACCAGCCATCAGCTCTTCAAATAATTTCAACTTAACAAAGAGAGGAGATGGACAGATCGGAAAGTATCGTGGCAAGCTCAGGACAACACACGTCCGGCCCTATGTAACAACAGTGGAAAGTGCGTGCCATGGTATATTTTCGAAGGCATATCAAGAACCAGATAATGTGGACTGGGAGTCCATTTGCATCGTCCGATCAGCTGCTACAAGTGCCGTGAGCCAATGGCAAACACGTTTGACAGAGACTACTACCTCTACTGAATGCAACTTTGGCATGGCAGAGATCTACAAGCACGTTATCTTATCTATCAATAGAGTTGTATCCTCGTATGACTATGTGAAATGTGAGGTCGTACTGTACTGCAGATGCGTCTACGACCTGGTTGGAAATGTACGCAGCAGTTCCCACCCTCTTGACCAGAGATCGCACACACCCTAGGGTTTTGATGGGTTTGTACGACTCCCAGCTCTTGACTTTTGTTGGGTGTACGAGACGCACGCACAGTTTTCTTAGGGTGAGTACTTTTTCATGCAGTACTGAATGCGGCAAGCAGGACTCGCCCATCCGCCCCTCCCCAAATGGATCTACTCGAATGGTTCCGGAGGTAGGGGTGCTCTGGCGGGATTTTACGACATACACAAGCGCGCACACAATATACACACGCACGCACACACATACACACGAACGCACGCTATGTCGCACGTCTTGGGCATGGCTTCGTGAATACAAATAATAATTTAATGTTATAATTTATAGGATCCAAATGTTAGAGCAGCTTTACAAAACCTACCGTTCAATACCGGATCATCTTGTGACAGCTTCCTTGCAACACCCATGACTTGACCCCACTTCGTCTTGACGTCGGGAAATCGTTCACACCGGAGTTGGGACACGACTCATTGAAATCCAGGCCTATCTGCAGCTGGGAGCAGGACAGAGCTGATGGACGTCAGCAGCGGCTGTAGAACAACCATAAACGAGTCTTCTTTCTCCGCAGTCAGGCGGGACAGCAGCTTTGCAACGCAAACTTCTTGCCTTCTGTGGGTCTTTAGCGGCTGGGATTTGGAACGCTCTGTAGAAACCATTGAACAAGTACTGCACTCTATCAACCCACAAGTATTTCTTCCAATTCATGATTATTCGCAACTTTTTATGCAGTACGTGCACCAGATCAGAAGCCGCTAAGTAGCAAGGTTGAAAGTTTCAAGACAAATTGAAAAATATAATAACATAGAAAATTAGAATTCAAACCATACCTGTGGCCCAAGCCAATACAGACTGAGCGTTCACGCGAAGAGAACGTAGATCTACGTCAGCTGAGGTTTCCTTAGGATCAGGAGGTGATTCTTGACCCGGATCTAGATCGCGATCAGCAGCACTCTCTGCCTCAATCACGATCATCAAATGCAACTAATTACTTGGAAAAGTAGTTCATTCTTCTTCTTCTTTTCGAGCTACGATTTCCCACGATCCTATCGATCCTGCACGAGTCCGTTCACCAGGCCAAGGAGTGCACTCCCAAAGTCCCATGGCATAAGTACGCGGAGTAGTTGGTTTATAACTCAGGGCACGCACCGGGGATATCTGAGGGAAAAGTGGGAGAAAGTGCCGCGAGTCAATCATAGTCGGCCCGGAAGGCCTCGTGTCGCCTCCCGGGTCTATACGACTCCCTGATAGAAACTCATTTCCGTCGTGCCCTGACGGACGAAGAGCGAAAGTCTATGCTCACGTTGCATCCGCGTCCTGCCACGGAAGCGTTGATTGCCCCCAAGATCGATGAGTCGGTAAAGAGCTGGATAGGGCACCAGCTGCCTAAAGTTGCTGATGGGAGACTTTCTTTGGTGCAGCAAGCATTGCATGCATCGGTGGGCCCACTGACGTGCACCTGGGCTTCACTACTGGACACTGACCATGACACTGTCGAGGTGGCAGACGTAATGAACATTGTACAGCGTACACTCGTTCTGATGGGCAATGTCAATGCCTTGCTCACCCAGGCACGGCAGCAGACGGTCTTGGAGGCTGGTGGCAAAGAGGTAGCCACATTAATGAAGGATGAGATGCCTGAGAAAGGCAAGTGCTTGTTTGGAGACAAGTTCACGGCGACTTTGACCGAGAAGGTCAAGGCGTCAACAGCTTTGCGGGATGCGGTTCGCCTAACTAAGCCCGCTAGTGCAGCCCCGGCAAGAGCCAGGCCACCTTTTCGTTCCGGGGGGTTCGGCGCCCAACGGGGCCGGGCCCCATTCTCACTTCAGTCGCGCTATCGCGACAGCAACCGGTCCGGGCCACCCCACAGTTCCGGCAGGGGTTATCCAGATCACGGCCGCCGATTCCGGCCTTACCCACCACGGTCCCAGCCGCAGCAGCAGCAGCAGCATTCCGTCCCGCCTCCGCAGCGGAGATCAAACCCGTCGGCTTAGCAGCCCGGGGTTGTCCTGCAGATCAGCGAGAAGTTCCTGCGATAGTGCAGAATGCGCAGCTGAATCTGCACAGCCTACCGGATTCCTCTCCGGCAGGCCGAATTTGTCATGCATTGCACAATTGGAAATTAATCACACAGGACCCGTGGGTCCTAGCAGCAGTGGAAGGCTATCGACTATCAATGAGCAGCCAGCCACACCAGGATCGGTTGCCACAGCCATACCATCTGGCACCAGCAGAGCAAACAGGATTAGACGAGCAATTCCAGAAGATGCTGTCTCTAAGAGCCATAGAGAGAGCACCGCAAGAGCCAGGGATGGAGTATCTGAGCCAGCACTTTGTCATCCCAAAGTCCGACGGTCGTTGGCGGGCTGTATTCAATCTGAAAGCCCTCAACCAGCATGTATGGACAGAGCATTTCAAGATGGAGTCACTCCATCATGCCGCCGATCTTCTCCAGCAAGGTTACTTCATGTGCAAGCTGGACCTCAAGGATGCGTTCCATTCTGTCCGCATCCACCCGTACAGCCGAAGATGGCTCCGTTTTCGCTGGCGGGAAGAGACATGGCAATACCGATGCTTGCCGTTCGGGCTCTCGGATGCCCCCCGCACTTTCACCAAGATCCTGGCACCGGTGGCAGCATTTCTCAGATCTCTGGGAATCCTCCTAGTGGTGTATCTGGACGACTGGTTGTTCATAGCTGCCACAGCAGAGGCAGCCAAGCAATCGGTGAACGCAGCAGCATTTCTGTTGGAGCACCTGGGCTTCATCATCTCCAGGGACAAATCGATCCTGACGCCAGTGCAATCTCTGGAGTTCCTCGGCATAACAGTCAACTCGCTGTCCATGGAGTTTCATCTTCCAGATCGGAAGTACGAGGGCATACGCAAGGACTGTCGCCAAATGCTGAACAAAGGCACTGCCAGCCTCTCGGCACTACGGCATTTGCTAGGGAAAATGCAAGACGCGACAAAGGCGGTACCACTAGCGCAAGCGAGGTCCCGGATGTTGCAGTTTGTTCAGAACCAGATAACGGACGAACAGGAGATCATTGCCTTACTGGACGATGCCCAAGACGACCTCTCATGGTGGATTCACCTGACTCCAGCACAACGGTGCAGGCCAGTTCAGATCGCACCGCCCTCCCTGACTCTGACCACCGACGCATCCAACCATGGTTGGGGTGCGACGTGCAACGGCCAAGTCACAGGCGGCCCTTGGACAATCCACGACGATCGGCACATCAACTGGAAAGAGTTGAAAGCGGTCTTTCTGGGGCTGAAGACGCTGTGTCCCGACCTGACAGATCTAACGCTCCGTCTGGAGATCGACAACACCACGGCCGTAGCGTATATCAATCGGCAAGGGGGCACACACTCGTTCCTGGTGTGCCAGTTGGCGAGGGAGATCTGGGATTGGGCGTATGCTCGTCGGCTGTTCCTGGTTGCAGTGCATGTGCCGGGTGCCAGCAACACGACCGCAGATTACCTCTCCCGTCATCTACTGGTGGACAGCAGCGATTGGAAGCTGGACAGCGACCTGTTTCACTTGATTGTGACGCACGAGGGTCTACTTCTCTGCGATTTGTTCGCATCGAGACACAACAGCCAACTTCCCCAGTATGTCAGCTGGTATCCGGACCCGGACGCAGTAGCAGTGGATGCGCTTTCGCTGCCCAGCCACATGTGGGAGGACGGCTATCTCTTTCCCCCGATAGCATTAGTCAGCCGTTGTCTCCAGTTCATCCAGTACCACCAAATTGCCAATGCCGTACTAGTAGCACCAGCATGGAAGGGTCAGGCGTATTATCCTCAGCTGTTGTCCATGTTACGGAGCCACCCGTGGCGGCTGCCGGAGATACAGGATCCCGTGTTGGGTCCATTCGGCGAATCACATCCGATGGAAGCCAACCGGCTGCAACTAGCCGTCTGGCCACTATCCGGGAGGCCGCACGAAGTCGCGGCCTTTCAGCACACGCTTCCCGTCTATGGGTTTCATCGTGGCGCTCATCAACCCAGTCCAGCTACGAGTCGGCCTGGAACATCTGGATTCGCTGGTGTCCGCGGGAATCGCTTGATCCCTTGGAAGCTGATGAAGTGCGGGTAGCCAACTTTCTAGCTTCCCAATTCGAGAGCGGCAAGCAGTACCGAACACTGAATGTCTATCGTTCAGCACTTTCGTCCACGTTACCGGTACGTGCAGATGAGTTGCCCATTGGCCAGTCCCCTACAGTTCGGCGCGTCATGGCCGGTGTCTATAACGAGCGCCCTCCGCAACCGCGCTACAGTGAGACCTGGTGTGTTGCATCTGTCCTGCAATACCTTGCCAGTCTTGATAATCAATCTGTCTCACTTGGCCAGCTGTCTGAGAAGCTGGTGATGCTCATCGCCCTGGCCAGAGCCCCAAGAGTCTCGACGTTGCATGCACTCTCCATACAGAGTATGCGTAGGAAGCCGGATGGCGTGCAGTTCATCTTGACACGCCCCACTAAGACCCAAAGGGTAGGCTCTGCACCAAAAGAGTTTGTGCTGCCTCGGTTTGCACAGGCGTCTACACTCTGCCCAGTGGTCTGTCTGGATGAGTATTTGTCCCGCACTATTTCTTTGCGGTCTGCTGCTGACACTGGGCTCTTTGTATCAACTCGCCCTCCTCATCAGGTTGTCAGCTCTGCTACGCTTGCTCGCTGGCTAAAGACCGTGCTCAAGGCAGCTGGCATCTCGAGCACATTTACAGCGCATTCAACTCGTGGTGCTTCCACAACGGCGGCTACCGTGGCTGGTGTCACGATGGCTGAGGTACTCGCCGCAGCTGATTGGAGTGGTCAGCATACTTTCATTGAGCACTATTATCGTCCCAGTTCACAGCTGTTCACGGATGCTGTCCTCTCGTCTGGCAATGAGATAACCTCTCATCATGACTCTCGTCAATCATGACTCTGTTCACTCTAGCTCTCTCTCTGGCTCACTTTCGTGCAATATTTGCTCTGCGGACAACTTTGGCTCAGTTGTCGCGCTTTCCTCTGCTTTGGTCTTTATGCAAGTTTGGACCATTCCTGGTATGACCCGTTCTGTTTTCCATTAGGGTCCTGTGTAGTTACTAGTATATAAATATAGCACTGTCTTGTAGACTTGTTGTCTGTTGTACCTAATGGCCAACGCAGGCTGGGTTTCATCAGGCTTGTGCTCTGGGTATATCACTTTGAACATCACACTGTCACATTCGAAGCCGGAGCTCCGAAGTGTAATTGAAGATTCCGCAAGGACTGCTTGCAGTCTGATGTGGAATCTGAGTTACACGAGGAGTGGAGGCAGAGCATGTGACAGTGTGTTCCCTCCCAGTTGTCAGTGATGTCTGTGAATAGACTTATGCCCTCCCACACTGTCACATACATGTAAGTCAAGAGCTCCGAAAAAGGCCAAAGAAGGTCTGGAGTTCGGGAGTAATATGGTGGCGGAGTTTGAAAATTTTCTTTGAATTGCTATGGTTTTAGGAGCGAATTAGGCCAAACACACTGTCACATTCTCTGCCTCCACTCCTCGTGTAACTCAGATTCCACATGACTGCAAGCAGTCCTTGCGGAATCTTCAATTCCTACATCCCTTCCCATTTGCAGGGTAACTAAAATGGGCGGGGCTAGAGTTAATTTCCGTCCCGGCCTTTTTGTGAGCATGCTCAATATGGTATGCACTGAGGCTTAGCTAACCATGCGACGCCACCCATCGACAATGTAATGAATAAATACTGCTAACGGGTAACAATACACATGCGTTGTATGTTACTCGGTAGCAGCTGTGTCTTGTAAAATAGTTGCGGCCTTGCACACCCACTACATGCATGACAATGTACATAGTCTATAGTACTTCATACTTCTTCAGTTTGCAGCATGTCGTAAAGGAAGTCAACGGTAAAGGCATGGGGACTCAATTGCTGCTTTATGCGCGACAATACAGTGTAGTTACACTGCATGCTGTGGGACAGCACAGAGAACAACCAATGGTCATGGGAATAGCCTTGCGGCTAACTCATCATACCTTCTCTTCTGCAGTGCAAGCATCTTACCAATTCAATTACATGCATGGCTATACAATCCAGTCGCGCATGTACATCAGGGAGTCATACCCAAACGTTTGGGTACGACTCCCTGATGTACATCCCTGCACAATACGTATCTAATATTGACTGAGTACGAGGTCAATATAGGAAATAAAAGCCAAGTAAAAGAGAGAGAAGTTTCCTATACTGACCAAGTACTCAGTCAATATTAGATTTATCACAACTAGCCAAAGCATGTGTTCAATCGCTAAAAAGGAGTCAAATATAAGCGGTCAATATAGCCCTAAGGAGTGAAATATGCAGGACTATGTGACTGCTTAGGTATGGCAAAAATCTATGTGAGTCAATACTAAGGGAGTGATAAATACACGTAGCACTGTTAGAGAACACACAGTACATCATGTAGAAGTACTTGTACTTGTATGTAGACTGTAGTGTTTGTGTAACAACGGCAAGGAACATCAATAATTGCTGTAAGATTCAAAAGGACTTCAAAAAGAGCATAGAAAATATAGAGTGCCACACATAGCACAAAGAACAAAATAACTTAGTTTGACCGCAATATGCCGCTCGAGAAAAAAAAGCAGAACAACACTCACTGCCTGAGCAAGTGAGCACTACAGAGCAATAATCTATTCGATCTGATGATCCGATCTCCTGACCTTCGGGAGCTGTCTTTGCAGAATCCCATATAATATAAAAATAAAATTTAATTTCTAAAATCACGAACAGATGGGGCCTGTATAAAGCGCATCTAAAAAAACCTAAATGTGAGTGAAAGTCACCCTAACACAAAGTAATCCTACTGAGCTTGTGCATGTCCTCTACAAGGAAATATGTGCCATTCGGCCTAATGGTATAGATCTAATGGGGAACATTGTAAACTAGCAGAATTGCTAGTGCAACGGACGACACTAAGATACCTCCGGCTATAGTGGGGGTGAAAATACTAGTAAAATAAAACATCTGGCGTAAAAAGGTTTCGGAGCAGCATGACAGAAGTAAATTTGACGAACAATGAAAACCGGCCAGTCAGCAGAGTGGCAGTTACAACTTACAATGGATGACACACTGGCAAGATATTCAAGTCCAAAACAGCAAATATTCATGCTGAGTGGAAAACTAAAAAAATTGTAAAACTAAAAAAAAAGAAAAAAAGACTGATCCGTTGAAATTTGTAAAACAATAGTAAATTTCCCTGTACTGACACGCTGTGCTGTGTACTGCTGAAACCATACTCTGTGCGTGCGTGTGTGTGTATAATTTGCGCTAAATGTTGTTTGCGAGATGTGACTTGTTCTATTGTTTATGCTTGCGTGCCTGTGCATGAGGGTGTGTATAGTGTATGTGCATGGCTGCACTTGATCGTGTTCATGTGAATGTTCATTTGTGTGTGTGTGTGTGTGTGTGTGTGTGTATGTGTGTGTGTGTGTGTATGTGTGTGTGTGTGTGTGTGTGTGTGTGTGTGTGTGTGTGTGTGTGTGTGTGTGTGCATTTCGACATTAGATGCACTGTATTTGAGTCTTACTCCATGCACAGCAAGGCAATCTAGTGCCGTGCTGTTTCTCACGTTGTTCACCATTCAAGGAATTGCACAAGAAGTAGTAGTACAGAGGGCATATACACAGTACTAACGTGTTGCAGAGTTGACCAGTGTATAAAACCGCTGACAGGAACACAATAGGCAGCAGGCTGTGAACTGGCTCTACCCAATAGATGTACTGTCGTCATGGGAACGTTTCAGAATTGTCTGGAGCAGAGCACAAACAGCAATACACAGACAACACTCCATCAAACAAAAAAACAGATTCAAAAATCAAACACGGGAACAGACAGAAGGAGAAATGACCAATCTTGAAATTTCAAGAAGTCGATGTGCAACTCGTAATGGAGAGAATGCAGTTGAAGCTTGTCACCAGCAAGATGAAAGAATCTGTGCATACCTATTCAAAGGAACGCAGAGCACAGACATCCAACTGACTTTTTATATTTCATTTCCATTTTTTATAGGAGTGAAACGAATATTCTAAATCGGCATGAATCGAATATCAAAATTTTATACCAAAAAGAAGAATTTGGCTAGTCCCCTGTCGTTGTAGACCAAGTACACAGTGGAGTTATGTTAACTACTCTTGTGAGTCATAGGCCCCTTTCTCAACATAATTACAACACATGTTCAGATCACTCCACCCGTTCTACACTTGAGCAGAGTGTGCACTTGGCAACACGCCCGTACAATCGTAGATCAAATAATGCATTAACAAACTTAAAACGAATATTCCAAAGGGGTAAACATTCCTTCCATCGCGTATCCAAACGGATATATTCGATTATTCGAATATTCTTGCAACCCTATTTTTTTATAAATTGATAATACACACAAGTATGAAAGGTCATGATACTACCGGGGCCAATTGAAAACTGCTCCTGACAGTCCTGGCATGGGGTTAGTTACTCAGTAGTCTTGCCAAGTACCTGTAAGAATAGAGAACTCTGCAGCCACCACTACAATGTACTCCAGTGCTATGAATGGAATACTATTATCATTTCTCTAAACAAAGTAGTAAACACGAAACTGTCGCACTTACAAATCCGTCGTCAACATCCACGTCTTCATACTTCTTTTCTCTGTAGAAGGTGCGCTTCTTCAGCAGGTTCAGAGTGATGAAGTCACACAGTACCGTGGCCTGCGAAAACACCCCCTCCCCCCCCCCCCCCCCACATACACACCACCACGGACACACACACACACACACACACACACACACACACACACACACACACACACACACACACGGGCACACAATCAGAAACAGTGGCACAATGTGCGGCAGACACACAAGGCCTTCAGCACTGGAGCGGGCGACTGTCTCATAACAGTTGGTTAACTATGGTAAGAGAAGCAAGCAAGCCACTAGTGGGGTTTCACATTCTTTGGAGCCAAGAACAACGATACTATGCGCTGAGTATAAGTACTGAAGTATGAGGTAGTGAGCTGGAACTCTCAGAAGTTCAGAACCAATTGCTGTCTGTTTGTAAAGTATCATCTTGTATTGCTAAATTTTGTGCTGTGTGCCCAGAAGATTGTCATAGATGCAATGGATGTCCATGGAGTGTGTGTGCATGTTTGTTTGTGTGTGTGTGTGTGTGTGTGTGTGTGTGTGTGTGTGTGTGTGTGTGTGTGTGTGTGTGCATGTGTGTGTGTGTGTGTGCATGTTTGTGTGTGTGTGTGTGTGTGTTGTGTGTGTGTGTGTGTGTGTGTCTTTACTTACAACAGAGAGCAGGGCGAGACCAGTGCCGAGGTTTATGAAGAGCGGTACCGGACTGAACTTGCCTGCCTGTTGCACGGGATGCAAGGAAAGGAAAGGGGGTGGGAGACAGCCAGAAATGACAACATATCGGGAGAGAAGTTCAGCACTGGCTGAATGGTCAAGGGAAAAGTCTCCACATGCTTTATTTCTAGGTTTATTGGAAGAAAGAAAACTAGAACTGTGTTGACAAGACAATGGAAAGTGACAACTGGCTGCAGTAACTGCCTTATCAACAGATCAGAATGTGAGCTAAACTACTGTCTGGGGTTTGAGATGACCGGTCTCTAAATACAGGTGGTCTCTAAACAGAGGTTGTACAGTACATGTAGTCATGTACTGTTGGTGACAGTGTGTCTAACCTCTCCCTCCACATTGATCAGGAAAAGAACACCATAGGACTTGGTGAGATCACGGTACTGCACCACCTGACCGTCTTCCTGCAGCTTGTAGTACTTCCCAAACCTGCACAGCAACAGGCCACAACGACAACAATAACAACAACAACAACAACAACAACAATAATAACAAGAGTGAAGATTTCCCAATGATAACGACGGCGATGATGATGACAACCGCAAGAACAGATGCCTCAGCCTAAAACGTGTGAGTGTGCGCATGCATGCATATGATACACACTCAAGACGAGTACAGTGCGTATCGGTTATAGTGTGGTCGTGTACAAGAATATACTGCTTACAAGAATGACCTCTCATATTTTCATAAACATAACATGGGTTTCAAGTGAACATTTATTCTTACAAGCAATGTTATCGCATTGTAGAATATATCGGTCCTAAGAATGGACTTTGTGTAGCAAAATATACCAAATTAGTACAAAGTGTATTGCCTGTAGTAATAACATCTGTCCGATGCAGTTCTGCTCCGACTCGCATTGCATCGTAGTGCTGCAGGTTCAACTGTTGTTGTCGTGTATCTCATGCTGCATAGCCACATGGTTAGCGTATGGGACTATGAACACCCGCATACACAGCAGCGGTATGTTGTATGTATGATGACCATCCTGTATCTGCGCACATGCATCTGATATGTCACACTCGACTTATCGTGAGTAAGAAATATCGGAAATAAGAATAGAAAGTCGTTTTTCAAACACCCACGTTATAACCGATACCTACTGTACAAGTGTGTGTACGCACACACCGCTCCCCACGTACACACGTACACACATACACATACATGAGTGCATACGGTTCCCTGCAGCAAGTGGCTATCGAGATATTCAAGTTGGAGAAACGCATCCATTGTTGATTGAACACATACCTGAAATTGAATCCTGGTGATAGCTTTACAGCTGGGTTATCCACACTGAGAAGAAAGCAAAGCAAACACAGGAACAGTGACATCAAACAAACAGAATCAATAATCAATGGTCCAAGAAGGCTTGACCTCAACTGGGGAATTTTATTGTTCTGTAATTGTAGCCAGTGAGGTGGTAGAATATAGCGAGTCTGTTAACAAACGACCATCACGATTTACAACACCACATGCCTTAGAGGGGTCGTCCACAAATATCGATGTTTTTTTAGAGAAGATATTCGTTCGTTTGGGGGGGGGGGGGGTTTGGGCCTTGTTCGTCTCGTATTTGCAGAAAAAAATATCGAACTCTATCTATGGACGGGCGCTGTTCGAACATGTAGTTTATGACCTACACAAAGTGAAAGTCAACCTCGTGAGCATAGCCATGGCAAGGTTGTGCGATCGTGGCAACATAAACCTAGGTGTATGGTGAAATTAGAGTGGCAGCTGGTCACGTTTCATGAGGAAATTGAACTTCATTAAAAAATATCGATCCCTTGCATAAACATGTGTATGTTCGTTTTGAGGGGGGAGGGAGGGGGTCTGGGGAGAAATGAACAAATATCGTCTTGAAAAAACATCGACATTTACGGACGGCCCCTAAGTGAGTCCCAGGTTAAATTTCATGCAAAGAAAGCTATAGCAACACCCTAGACCAAATTCCTATGCGCTGTGGAGTGACGCATTGCTCAAGACAAATTGGGCTGTATTGCAACACCATCCCTTCTTCAGAGAATGTTGGCAATGAGTCAATTCTATCAAGAAATCCTCTCTCCATGGCTGAACCGGAGAGCTACACAGAATTCTCCAACTTACGCCAGAAAGCCACTAGCATAGCTAGTTACTGTGCTGTTCAAGCAGGAAAAATAGTCGGAACTTGCTGAGAGTTGTGCGTGACTGCGGAGTTCATTAGATGAAAACTACTGGTTTACCTAATTTGATGCAAATTTCTTAGATGAAAAAATACAAGTAATATCGTAAAGTACCGCCAGAGCGCCCCGTCTCGCGAGAGTACCCCACCTTGATTTTACAGCCAGAGAAAGGAAAATCGTATGGCAGAGTGCAACGAAGTGTGTACAATGTGAGAATCTTAGTGTACTAAGGTCACACTTGGCAGGTTTTTGTGTGGAGCTTGTGTCCTCTTGAAGGTACGGATTGACTGCAAAACGTGCAATATGTGTACAAGGTTCTTGTCGTATGACCTACAGACAGCAGACCACCTCCACAATACGACCACGAAAGGATGAGATGGTGGGGCGCTCTGGCGGTACTTTGCGGTACATATTAAGCGGATAACTCACCGTCGAAATTTGTACTCAGGTGCACATTTGAACTGCAATGAGTCAAGATTACAATTCCATATGATGTCTATCGCCATGACTGCACCCTGTGCGTATAGAACAGCCACAGAGACAAATGCAATGAATGCAGCAGGGTCTGAGTTGCTCAAGCCTGCAAAGTGACTGCAAAACGAAGCACAAAACTTAGATAAAACATGCAAAAGCTGCATAAAGCCATCTGTCGCCTCATGATACTTGAACTCTTCACAGAAGCCGCATACATGCACCAAAGGTACTACTTCGAAGTACATGTACTGTCGTGGACATGGAAATCTGGTCGAATGACGCGGGACCGGCACCCTCAGTGCATACAGAACGTTGCTTGCAGTGCACGTGTTAATCGTATGCGTACTCACGGCTGCATGGCCAGCGCCTTGGCCGCTTGACCTCATACCAGATGTCCACCATGTCCACGACAGCAGTTAAACGTCAACTCAGTAGTTTTGCAAACCAAGATAATACAAAGACGAAGGTCATCCCAAACAAAAAGAACAACAAAGACATTGGACAAAAGCAGCGTGCCTGACAAGATTGATGGGACCGCACTCACATCTTTTGTTGCCTGTGGCCACTGCTCAAGAATGCCTGCGTAGCGGAAAATATCTTCCAGGCGAAATATAGGACAGAAGGCGTCCGTGTCGGGATGGTAATTACACTTCTCCAGGTAAGTTCTATTATTGACGTCATCGTTGATGTTTCGCCTGCACGGGCAACATAACAGCAGAAAAAGTACAAGTACAAATGGTGCGGTTTTTTTGTAAAAAAAGAAAAGAGTACAGGGTCGAAATAGAATGACACAACAGAATGACAATACTACAGCTACTCACTGAGACACTATAGCTAATCACTGAGACACTATTATAGCTACTCACTGAGACACTATAGCTACTCACTGAGACACTATTATAGCTACTCACTGAGACACTATAGCTACTCACTGAGACACTACAGCTACTCACTGAGACACTATAGCTACTCACTGAGACACTGTAGCTACTCACTGAGACACTATAGCTACTCACTGAGACACTATACAGTAAATGAATGACTCCACATAGTGATCCATTTTTTTAGTGCATGAACTACCCGTGAAGTGTCCAAACAAGAAGACCACTCCTCTCCGAGCATACTAAAGCTATTCTTGTAGAGTGTTGCCGTGGCTCATTTGCAGAAGCTATGTGAGTGCAGCAGCGGCAAGAGAACCGTACGCCCGTGCAATCGTGACCTCTTTGAACAATGCCTCGCTGGTGACATCATGTGCAGGAAACATTGGCGGGAAGGCTGGGGGTGGTGGGTTATACAGCATCATTCCGGGCATAGCTTCTGGCCAGGTCCTCTATTGCGCATAGCATCAATGCATAACTGAATATGGTGTGGGATCTGAAAGGATGGGTGTTAACAGTTTTATAAGCATAGGCGGCCTGGTGTTTTAGTACTACCCAAACTAGGAAGGTCATTGGACTGCGAATGGCTGGAATGCTTACGCCTTGTAGGTGAATTTCTTGAACTCAATGCTGTTCTTGATGAAGACGGTGAAGTTACGAGCATCCTGTTCTAATACAGCTGCACGGCTGCAGACAAAGGGAAGCATACAAAAGTAACTTAGACACAGTGCAAAATACTGCAATACCGAAAACTTTCAGTGGAGATTTATTTTCGGTAACTTTGGTAAAGGTAATTTTTACCTAACATGATTTTTCGAAAGACGTAAAACTCAAGTCATAGTGCGAAGCAACACGTCAAAAACTCACCTGCTTGATATGGCGCTTCTGGTCATCGCAGAGCCATGAAATTTTGGCTCGGAGTATTACACATCGTAGTCTCACTGTGACATATGTTTTCTAATCAAAATACCAAGAGAGAAAGTCAATATTGAGTCCGTTCCGGTTTGCAACCTATATCCTATTTGAAACCATCGCCTCTACTATAGCCAGCTGTGATAACATAAGATAGAAGACCACCCTTGTAGGATAGTTGATGTTAGAAGAAATTACCTCTTTGTTGGATCTTCATCTTCCACAGGACACCAGCCCATGATCTGACAGGACATTCGGCCGACTGGTTCCGTGTTATTGTACTGTACACAGTTGCCAGTCATACGCCCTGTCAGCAAGAGGCAATTGGAAACATACATACATGCGCCGGCACACGCATACACACACACACGCACACAGACATGCACACAGACACGTACACACACGTACGCACACACACACACACACACACATCACACACCCACACACCCACACACACACACACACACACACACACACACACACACACACACACACACACACACACACACACACACACACACACACACACACACACACACACAAACACATACAAACACATGCCCACACACTTGTACTTGCTCACTGCCATAACTGGTCACGTGGGTCTCCCCTGAAGAGGGGGAGAGAAATTCAAAAGGAACTTGGAAAGATGACTCAATTGGCTATTGAACCGCCCAAAAACCGACACCCCCTGAAATCCCCAAACTCTGGGTGGATTCGGAAATGATCCCACTTATGGGCTCACCACACCTCAGCATCAAAGTGGGTGAGGAGAAGGTGCAGAAAAGGATTGACGGCATCAGGGCATCAGAAAAACAGACACACACACACACACCTTTGACCTTTTTGACGCCCATCGCCGGAAGCGATGAACGCAATGCTACAGCAGAAGCCATAGCAACTTGTGCTGGGATTGCACCATTCAACAGCTTGCAAGGCTGAATAATTGACCGTCACTATTCAGCCTGGTCTACACCATACTGCTATTCGAAGTGACTTTTCTGGCCAGTGAATCCCTATTTTTGGTCTTTCCATTTTTTTCCCTCGCGCGCACACATCACACCACATACTCCGATATGCACTGGCTGTTGGTAACCACCCAGGAGAATGAAAGAAAAGTCAGGAAGAGTCTGAGAAAGAGAAGAACACACACACACACACACACACACACACACACACACACACACACACACACACACACACACACACACACACAATCACACACAATGCTAGCATCTGGTGAAAATGAACAGTATAATACCATACTACGCGTAGAGTGCAAAGGGAATGCATTTCGGATTTAAAGCAGAAATAAAATTTCATCCAAACTACATGATTGTACATGCCCCACATCCCTGATTGCAACTCACCATCTCCATTGGGAACCAGTTCACCCGCAGCACAGTCATTGCCATTCGTACAACTCTTTATGCTGGGTTTCTGAAAGGAGAGCGAAAGCAAATACTGCACATCACCTGCGGTCCTATTGAATTCAGCAGGGGCGTCGGACACGCTACGGTCACTACATACCTTTTTGTCCCATGTACCCCGCGAATCAAAAAAATACACTGATCTGGTACTCCCCTGTGGTGCGGTATGGTCAGCCATCTGAAGTACAATTTTCTCGTGGGGGAGCGGTGGCTGAGCCGAACATTTTGGAAATTTACAGGCCAGATCAATGTATTTTATCATTTTTATGCTTCACGGGGGTACCTGGGGCAAAAGTGGTACGGTCAATACCGCAGTGACCATAGTGTGTACGACGCCCCTGCACTATAATATCTTCCGACATCCCTGATTTAGTGAGGCTAAACTTACTTTCTTCTCAGGTAACCCCAAAGCCGGGGGGAGCCTTACCAGGTACAGTAAAACCTGTAACTAACGACCGGCACCGTGACTAGCGACCACCGTGACTAGCGACCACCGTGACTAACGACCACCGTGACTAGCGACCGGCCTGGTACTACCGACCACTTCGTCAGGCACGGACGGTCTCACATTCAAAATGCACTGTGACTAGCGACTACCTGCTGAACGCGACCAGCGACCGCCTTTTCTTGTCCCAATGTCGAATTTTGACCCGTAACTAGCGACCGCGATGTAGGAAATCAAACATTGCTCGACGCTCCTTCTCGACATGTTGATGATTTTCCATGGTCCTGAAAGGACTGTTTCGATACTACAGCTGGACAAATGAACGCAGTCTCATTTTGACTGTGGAATCAGTGTGGACTGCACTACACCTGTCATAATTTCAAGTGCTGTCAAGAACAAACATGATAGGAAACGTCTTTGGAGAGCGCATCCAAAGCGCTCTTTGATCGATGTTACTACTCGAAGGAGAAACTAAGACTGAGCGGCTCTCTGTCGAAGTGCAATCACACAGCTCAGTCACCAGGTCACACTGACAGTCTGTGCTGGCTAGCTAGCATGCTACGGTACATGTACTCACCTGTACGGAACACAGGCCAGGATACGATGGCGGATACTATAGTCTACAGTGAAGGTGCGAAAACTCGCAACATCGCCGCATCACGTACATGTAGATCGAGTACTGGTACACACCAGCGCAAAGAGAAGCTTCAACAGGGAACTCTTGACTCCTGGCTTCAGAAGTAGGAGCCGAATTTAATGTCTGCAATAAAACTTGATTTTCTCTCTCTCCAAGTGTTGTATGATCTGAAAGAAGAATGTCAGTGCGCAAGTGGTGGGGGATTGTATTATCTGCATTTTGACATACATATCATATAATGGGATCCATATATGATCACGCGGTGCAAACCTCTAACTAAAGACCACCTGCCACTAAAGACCACTTTTCCGGGCACCAAGGGGTGGTCGTTAGTTACAGGTTTTACTGTACAGTACGTATCACCTATAAGTAGTGACTACACCCAATTTCCAAAACTTGCTCTGATCGCTTCGATTTTGGTCTCATTCGATTCTCCCAGGCGTAGTACATAGGAAATCTGTAAGTATTATTCGAATCGGCCCAGCCATTCTTGAGTTATAGTGATTTGAAGGGCGCCAAGTTGGACTTTTGCTGGAAACAGAAATGAATGGGAGCGATGGGAGAATCGAGAACGACCGCACACTGACGCACAGTCCGTGCATGCAGTACAGTGTACAGTGCACACGCCTCGTCACTCGAACTGCGCGTACGAAATTGCATACTTAGGTATGCTGGGGCAGAACAAATTCGCTCGTAGAGGAAGACGAAAGCGTCTCACCGCCTTGTAATTTCACATGGCCAGTAGTTTTTCGACGCTGAAGACGATGGAATAGTCCGCGACGCTGCGACCCGACCAGAACAACCCGAAATTCATACCCTGAAAAAGCGCTGAGCGCAGAGCTCCTAAATTTTGTCGTATGGAAACGGGACTTCGGGTCTCAAGTCAAGGGCACGAACATCTCCTCTCTCAGATAAAGCAATTCACTCGATGCGATATTCTACAATTTGACCTAGCCACGCCGAAATGCACTGCCATGTCGGATTCTCCCATCGGAAGTATAGAAACTTGTTTCCAAAAAATCAGCGTCTGGGTGCGAGGGAGTAAAGTCACTACTATAAGGTTGGCGGCTATAGTAATATACCGGCTATAGTGATCAATCTCTCAAATTCATTTTCATTTGCCATAACTAAGTATACACAGTTATCGCGTATAGTAATAATCGTCTATAGTAATATATCGCCTATAGTGATCCAATTCATATTTCAAGACCTTTATGAAATTACTTTTGCATCGGATATAGTGATTGATGTAAAATCAAGTGGTGTCAGAGGAGACCAGGGTGTTTCTTCTTCATGATAAACTACAGTACTTGTCCAGTGTTGTTTGGTGAGTTCTGCTTGTACAATTCGCCAAATATGCCTCCATCGTGAGGAAATGCTGATGTTGTGTGTCATGAGCTGTAGCCAGCTATGCAGTGCGTATGTGCATGGCGCTCTGAATCATTTGATACCCCACTCGCATACATTGAATGCAGTACCGGTCATAGTAATATACCGCTTATAGTGATAAAATGCTCAAAATCAAACAGCAACGCTATAGGCGATACTGACTGTGCCTACTAGGGTTCGGAGAAATAATCGTGCGTGTCACAAGAGAGGTGATGTGTGCCGGTATGCGAATGACGATCTGTGGTATGAGGGAACTGGGATCAGGTGTAGAAATCTAACTTTCCAGGCACGAAAGGAGGTCCCCGATCCAGCCTCCACACGATGGCATGCATTTGTGAGTGATTGAGCATCCATTGCACAAACGACACAAGTACAATGTATATGCATATTAATACATAGCTCAGTGGTTAGAGCATCGCTAGCTGCAAGCGAAGGTCCCTGGTTCGAGTCCTGGTGGTGACAGTCAATTTTTCTTCAGACTTTTCCCGTTTGTGTCTTTCCCTCAAACTAGTCAAGATAATATTTTGTTATTATTATTATTATATAGGTAACGATTTCTTGTCAAGCTTTAGTGTTCAATCTTACATTTAGTGTTTTATTTATTTCCGAATTTTGGTTGTCTTGTTGCTTTGGTTCTTACTTCGTGGTTTCACGCGATTGGTGTTACGAATACTAGTAAACCCGTTCTCAAGTGTATGCACATACACGCACACACACACACACGCGCACGCACACACACACACACACACACACACACACACACACACACACACACACACATGCATAGGATCACAGTACCTCAGCACAGGTGCCATTCTTCTGGAAAGGTGTCACGTGCATATTTGTCATCACGTAGAAAGCGCTAGATTGCTGCGGCAAAAAAACAACAGATGGCAAACTATTCTTGTTAGTCGAGACATTACCCAGAAACTTGTAGTTGACCACCAACAGCATGGAACCATCAACAGGATCAATAGTTTGAGGGTTCTACACTGGTCTACCACTCATGGGTGACTCAGGGTTGAGAAAACCTTAGCTACTGGCACCACTGGCGTAAACACGGGGTAAGATCTCATTCATGTTACACAGATTCCATGCATACATGTACATATGACACGTGAATGCACGCCACTACATTGTACAGTATATCAGTCCCTGGGAGAGCTCAGCGTACTGACACCATTCCGTTGCCGTCGCTGTACACGCTTTCTCGCTTTGCCGTGCCTCAGTATCAGGGTGCTTATACAGGGGCGGTGGAACCGGTCCGGTTGGTCTGGCTATGGCCGGACCAGCTCTTTGGCCGCCAATGGGTATGTAAACTACTGAGGGAGTTATGTGTACCCGCCTTATCAGGCACAAACTGTATGAAAAGCTGTGGCATGGCCGGACCAATCAAGTCCTGTAATAGGTTTCCTGTATCCAGTTTACAGCCAGCATGACTTCAACATGCCATGCCGTCCTTACCTGTGGTGGAATGTGGTAGTCAGCCATATCCCAAATGCGCTCTCCGATGGCCGGATCTGAGTTGAGGTCCGTGTAGGCAACACCCTTGAGTTTGGCCGTCACGCCACTCGTCACCAGGTCAGTATCCTGGTAGCCTTTCTCGTACACTATGGCATACCTGAGTAGGAAAGAGACAAACGTGTCCAAGCATGAATGCACGAATGCACATGGATGCATGGACACACACACATGCACGCACACACGCGTGCGGACACACACACACATGCATGCACACACACAATGTGATATACGCACGTGCACACACGCACGTGCACACACACACACACACATACAGACGTGCACACACACACACATATGTAACACAGCCTACAGATCAACTATAGCAGTTCGGTCAGCCGAAGATGGCCTTAGACTTAGTCCATCCAATCAAAGATGGTCGTATCCCGGCCAGGCAAATATGGTACTGGCCAATGTACATGTACATGTACATGCATAATTATGTACTGACTGGAAGTACTTGTACATGTATGCAAAACAAAAAAGAGTCTCCGTACAGCACAGTAAATGATTGTTATGAAAGGGAAGTCGAGGCCTGGACTTAGTCTTACCCTATCACGTAACATATCACCACCAGTTGAATGAGGCGATTTATGAATCCGACCTTCTTGCTGCGGATATGAACTACTTTCAGTGTCTCATATTCGAACAAAGTACTGCCTATTTTTCCACACACTCCGCTCATTATGAAAAGTGTAGCGTAGCTGTCATTAATGCAACACTACCCAGATTAGTGACAGGAAAACGTCTTACACACTTCGTGAAAGAATTGGGGCTATCCAAGAAATGTTGAGAAACTATTATAATTATTTGTCTACCCAGTCCCACGGATATTATTATAACAAACAGAGCTCTTCCTTGCCTGGTAGCCAAAGACGGTCCGAAATATTTTTTCAGGTCCATTCATGGCGAATGTCTGGAAGAGACGAAGATGTGACACATTTCGAGTTTTTGACAGGATCGGAGGGGATGTGAGCAAGCTACAGACACGAAAATTGAGAGGAAAAGCTCGCCAGACGTGCATCATTGCATGCATGCCGCATGGGCTTCTCGTTTGGTTGTCCGGCGTCCCAACGCGCGACTGCCGCTTGTGGCTAAGTCCATGGCAACACGTCACGTGCAGCCTCCGTCACAGACTCACAGCTACAGTGCAGTGCATGCAAGTGACTGACTGCACCCTATGATGATCAGCGATCGATAGCGCTAGTACTACTACTAGGATATCACGTCGATGTGCTTGTTATGTTGCGTAACAGCAGTTCAGTCTTTACATAATTCAAACTCACTTTTGTTGAGAATCACAAAATAATTGCTTCTTGATATTTGTATTTTGATGTTCCATGGCTTGACCTCACGCTGAATGACTGTGGCAGAATCTGTCCTCTATGGTGTAAAATCTGTCAAGTACTAAATATGCTTGGTGTGGCTTGCTCTTCGGCGCTTCGACGCGGTCTGACTTCGGTCGGAAACCAGTCGAAATCTGCACTGAGCAAAAGCCATCAAGTTTGGAAGTCTGAGTGTGGATCAGTGGCAAGACTGTCTAGTGATAGCACGAATCAGTCGCAGGGCAGTGGATGGAGGAAATGGGCGGTGCGTGGAGCAGCTGTAGCTACTCTGGGCGTAGGCGCGTCGATTGGCATGGCACTGGTAATCAGAAATGACCTTGGAAAGTATCCCCTCTTGGCCAAGCTGATGGACAGTGTAAGTGGAAGAAAGGCCAAAACTCTGCCTGCTGCTGAGATCTCTGACAACAGTATGTTTGGAGAGGCGGCTCCCAAACTCAAGCTTCTACAGTATCACACGTGCCCGTTCAGCTCCAAAGTCAGAGCTTATCTGGACTACCACAAAATCCCGTATGAAATCGTCGAGGTGAACCCGATCTCTCGCAGTGAACTGCCCGCCGATTTCCGCAAGGTTCCTATCCTGATGGCCGGTGACTATCGGCTAGTGGAGTCCTCCGTCATTATTAGTATCCTGGAATCTTACAGACTATCAAAGGGCAAAGTCACCTTTGAAGAGTTGAATGCGCATTTCCCGCATCATGAAGGAGAGCGCTATGGACGCAAGAGCGAGATTTACGATGACAAATTCTTAATTCCCACGCTCAGCGAGAAGGAGAGGATAGCAGCCAAACGCGAGGAGGAGCTGAGGTGGAGAAAGTGGGTTGACGACACCTTTGTTCACATGTTGCCACCGAATATCTATCGCAGTGCTGCTGAAGCCAAGCAGGCATTTGACTACATCTCTTCAGTGGGTAACTTTGGGTTTTTTGAAGCAGTGGCTGCTCAGGTAATTGGCGCAACAGTCATGTACATGCTTGCCGGCCGCCTGAAGGAAAGATACAACTTGAAGGAGGACGTGCGTGAATCGCTCTATGACTGTGGCAACGAGTGGATGGAAGCCGTCGGCGATCGTAAGTTTCTCGGTGGCGAGAAGCCGAACATGGCTGATCTTGCCGTGTTTGGTACCCTGACGTCAGTTGAAGGGTTTGATGCCTTCAAGGACCTAATGGAGAATACACCCATGAGGCCGTGGTGGGATCGTATGGTGGCTGTTGTTAGAACAGAAAGCCCTAAGGCAGCTGAAAGCAGCTAAGTACTACCCATTGCTGCTGGTGGGTGATACTAAATTAAGTTTATATTCACTGGCCATAGCCCATCTTATATTCTGTTTGTATTGTAATAGCATTGATGTCGTCATTTTGAAATGTCAGCACCAACACTGGTGCTCAGCAACACTCATACTTCGAAGTAGGTTTATGTTATGTGTACAAAACAGAACTCCCACTCTTTCACGAGTACATGCATGCTCACAGGCAGCATCCTCCTCCACCACACACACACACGCACACACACTCACACGGGCACACACACGTGGGCATGCACAGCACAATTTTCAAGGTTCTCGGATTTAATTTTGCTGCTTTTTTTTCGGAACACTCTAGTTCCACACACTCTTTCTCCGCTTTCAATACGATCCTTGATTTCTCGTTTATGTACGGTATGACTGTATTCTCGAAAATGGATGCATTGTTTTGTACTATTTTTTTAAATTTAGGAGCACAGTCATTGTAGGTTTCTACTGTGGAAGCATCAGTTCAATCTCATTTACCGATTCCCTTATTATCAGTTATTCTTCCAGCATAGCATACTATGCTAAGCATATTAGAATTGAATATCAGCTGAACTGCTTGCTGCCATTTGAGGTCATGCAAAGTAAACATATAAAAGACTGGACAAGCGAGGTATGGCTGTTGTTTTTGTCTGCTAATGCTACTCGAATATGTTTAAAAAAAAAACATTTCTGGTGCAAGGCCACATCTCCACCTCTCATTCCCAGTTGGCCTCATCCCATTTCAATGCTCAGAGTGCTATAATGTACGTGATGGCGGAGTAAGGTACATCCTTTCCTCAAGTGGTGATCTAAAAATGCATGAAATATATAATATACAACTTCAAGAGCAACGACAACAATTTTGAAAACGGAATCTAAAAAAAAAGGTGACGAATGTTTCGAATATTTTGAAAATAGGGTTAAAATCATGAAAGCATGCAGAATTTCAGCAAATTATAGAAGGTAAACATTGGCACGGTCCAATACTGACTGGGGCATGCACAGCACCGGGTTGACTTTCTCAACACTTGTGTCACCTAACAAGGATAAAGATGCGACGCCAAACAGTGTGTGGAACGGGTCGACAATGTTGCCCGGACGATCGGCAAAGCCGCCGGTCTCGTCATCTTGGCAGGCGAGGATGTAGCGCCGCAGCTTGTCCTTGTCGATCCAGTGAAGGCGCTTAATCATAGCTAGCGAGGACAGCACCCACCAAGAGTAGCAGACGTCGGGTAGCTTCTCCGGACGGCCATTCAAACCGCCAGACGGCAACTGCCGCTCGCATAGCCACCAGCCGAGGGTATCTGCATCAATACTGTCCAGCTGGTTTGCCAGAGCCAGAGCACCGACGCAGCAGAAGACCTGGCCACTGTGCGACTCCGAGCCCGGGACTACGCCGAATCCACCGTCAAAGTTCATGCACCGTACAACGAAGTCAGCTGCCGACCGCACGTCGATAGCATCTTGACGGTGCAGTAACGTGACACACGCCAGTGCGCAGAAGGAGAACCGCGAGTCAACCTCGCCCCACTGGTCACCACTGAACGAGCCGTCTTCCCGCTGTAACGCGGCCACATACTCGACAATACCATCCACGTCCAACTCCGTCACGGCATCATACAGGCAGCAAATCTGTATTGCACTCAGTGTGTAGAGTAAGTGTGAGTCATGACCAGGACTAGCACTGTAACCACCGTTATCGCAACGGCACTTGCGTATAAACGACACTACCTCCACACGGTTCATTCTATCCAGCTGACCCAGTAGTGACATACAAGTCAGGCCCCAGTAAACGCCGCTCATCCGCAGGTACTCCGTAACGCAATATTCGTATGCGTGCTCACTCCCTTCTTCAGTATTTCCATACGTAGCCAAATAGTCCGCGTGTTTCTCCAGCAGTAGCTTTTCCCGCAGACCCAAGTCTTCTGGAACGCTAACATCGTTTATAGCTTTCGCCATTACTGCCGGCCGTCCGTCCTCCCGAAATCCAAGGATCAACTAAACTAGTAAAAGCACTTTCCAAATCGAAGTCCATTTCTCTTTTACATTTTTGCAAACGCAGAACCCAGCAAGCTACAACAAAAAAATCAACGCTTCACTCGTTACCTAGGCGATTATAGCATGACATCACACTGAGTATCGTACACGTACCCGTATCGTACTCATCGCAAATCGTATTATTTTTATGATGATCGATGCATATTTTTCGCGTGGCTGTGTCGCGCCGCGGGAAATACAAATGTTCGATTGTGGACGCTTTTTGCTTCGAAATCAGTTTGCCATGCGAGAATGCACGATTGCACGTGTCAGAAGCGAAGTACACGTGGGGGAGTATACAAAATTTAGACTTTGGCGTAGCCAGAGTGTGAGTACGATGAATACTGCATTGCCGAATGCCGTCTTTGCAACTTCCTTTCAGGCACATAGTCCTCAATTAGGCCAAGAATCAGGCATTCCTTCGCATGGCTGTTGCTTTCTGTGACTCTGTTTTGTCGATGGGATGCAGCAATAGTACTGAAAGCTAATAGAGTAAGGGCACAGTAGCTAGAATAGAGAACTCCCACTCGGAGTTTTGCAGCCAAGGTGAACACGTCTTTGCAGTCGAATGACTATCTGGAGAAAGCTCTTACAAATTACGGTGGTTTGTTCGTGGAACTAGATACTGCGCAAACATGGCAACAGGAGACAACAATGTGTATTACTCGCCGAAGTACACGGATGAACTATATGAATATCGGTACGTAATATTCACCTGTCATACTAAGGTGGAGTTTGCACTTTGTTGTGCTTCGCTGAAGCTGGACGCCCTGCAATCACTTTGAAACTTGTGAACACAGATACTGTAGTTGGTGTAGGTCCCGTTGTTGGGTAAAATTAAACTTCAAGATCACACCATTCATGTTTTCCACATTACGATTCGTGCTCATGGAATGTCTCCATGATTGATCACAACCAAAAGTACTTGCTCAGCAAATTCTCTGGAGCTCTGCCATATGTTGTCCATCCAGTATATTATCAGACTTTTTGATTCTCTAACAGTTTATGAAAGGTATATTGCTTACACTCACTGCTACGAGTAGAACTATGAGTATGTCAGTGTGCTTATGACTGCTGGCATCGTTGGTAGAATAGAGCTGTAGAACTGAGTCTGGATTTCGAAAATCTCCACGAAGAGAAAGAAGCTCTCCATAACAAGAGCCGGGTGGGTTTTCGGGGCTGCTCTGTCAGAGGAGTTGAGCTAGCCTTGGTTTTGGGCACACGGACAACATCCATATGGCAGAGTTGCGTGCCAAGAATGTTGTTTCCAAGAAGTTCGGCTGGGACATTCTTATCTTTGAGCAGTCTGGCCGTGCTCTTCTTGTAGGCTGTAGCACATTATTAGAACAATTCATACTGGATTGTATGAACACACTATTACATACGTAATTATACATAAGAGCTCCTGCTCTTGTAGTAGTTGAGCACTCTCGTGTGGGGTAGTGTCTTCGCTGTTTGCGTTAGGCAGAGCTCACCGTTAGTTTTGTCAGTTTGAGTACTCTGGCAAGGTACGTTTGGGCCTGGTTTAAATCTGGCTTTGGAAGTTTTATTTTTCATTGCTATCAGATTTGGCCTCATTTACCTCTTTGCTGCACTGATGAGTCCACAAGGGACGAAACAGTTCTGTCCGCAGTTCATGCGCAACTCTACTGTACGGCGGGTGAATACCTCAGTTGGCCATCTGTAAGATACCAAAGAAAAAATGTGATGGTCCAACTAGTATGTACATGTATGCATGAGATGTTGCCCGAGCACGTTTGCAGTGCCGTCCCACACTGGTATCTGCATGAACGACGCCAGAACTGCACGCATGCAAGGACATTATTTTGTTTATTGTATCCCACGTGACTGTGGCGTGCATAATACTTGACCTCTCGTGCATACTATTATAATTAATTAGAGAGGTTCCGCATAACGTATTAATAACGTTAGTAAAAAACGTAGTCGATCTACGGAAAGTCTTACGTACACTGCATGCAGATCTGTGTTCCACCATACGTAGTTTTCGAATCACGTAGCTGCCCTTGGCAACTCGGAACGTGGCAGTGTACGACCAGGTCGACCTGGGGAAGGAGTCATCAATTTGTACTCCAATCCACTTACGGAGCACCTACGTTATCAGAGCCCTATCTATGTACTCTACGTAGACAACTTTCCGTAAGTGGAGTGCAAACTCGAGAATTCACGGGTTTTTCCTGCCCACTATTAAACGTAAAATTGCTCAACTTTATGTAGCGTTGAACCTCTCTATTGTCGGGTTGGTTCGCGTAAGTCAAATCGGTGCTGGGGGGGGGGGGGGGGGGGGGTGCTAGGCCAGCTCCAGGTCGATCAGGCCTGACGCCAGCTGAGATCACTTGCATACAGTTTGTGTACCATTGATGCATTATAGCACCGAAACTACTACAACGTAGAACAGAATGTGCCCGAATGCTACTACCGTAAAGTACCGCGAGATGAGCGCCCCGCCACCACTCCCCTTTCGTGGTTGTGTTGTGGAGGTGATGGCCTGTATGTAGGCCATGTGACACTTACCTTGTACACACTTTGCTGTTTATACTTGTGGCATCAATCTGTACGCAGTTTACCTTCGAGCGAATGCGAGCTCCACACAAGAACATGCGGAGCGTGACCTTAGTACGCTGAAGTTCTGGCACAGTACAACTTGTTTGCACTCTGCCATGCAGTTTTCCTTTCCCAGGGTGTTAAATCAAGGTGGGCTGCTCTCGCAGTACTTTATGGTACAGGCCTGACTCCAGGAGAGATAATAACTTGCATACGGTTCGAGTACCATTATAGTACCAAAACCAATACAAAGCAGTACAGAATGTGCCTGAATGCAATGACCGGATTGATTGGGGGCACATGAATTCTATGTTTCACCAGTAGTTCATGAGGCGGCAAGGGTCTTTCGGTAATGGCCGCTTTTACTCTAGGTCATGAAATTATTTCCACGCCAATTTCTGCTGTGCAGTGACGGTCTTGAAATCATGCGTTGAAATGATGAAGTCAGAAGAACTTGCAATTGTCTCCTTCGTCTTTTTGCATTCATTTGTTGTTGTATTCTTTTTTCTTTCTTTATTTCAATTCACTCAGGCAATGTTGCCTTCTCACCGGAGAGACGATTCCCCGATTGTAACCGAAAACGAAATGTATGATTGATTGTACTTGAAGTATAATCCAATGGAGTAGTAATATGTGCAGCTCTTACGTAGACGAAGCCATGTACATATAGTTCAGCCATGAAAGAAATCACTGAGAAGAAAAGGAGGCGAAAGAATCAAAATGCAAGTGGGTTGCTGCTCTGCTCAAAACGTGCCTGCCCTATGCCCGAGGCAGATCTTGTTACAGGTCAAGGATGCCTACAAGTGACATGACTAGTTACTTCTAGTATTGTATTGATCGTAAATAAACATGAAAGTCAGAACTTCCCTTTCCCTTACTGTACATTCATTTCTTTGTTTGCCTCTCTCTTACCCTACCTATCGATCTCTATTTCAATGGGCAGACATGTCATTATGCCAAAGGAGCTATTGCACCTTGTGCCAAAGGAGAAGCTCATGTCTGAGAAGGAGTGGAGAAGTATTGGCGTACAGCAATCTGAAGGATGGGTCCACTACATGATACACAACCCAGGTTTGTGCGCAGCGGAGTACCTTTTGTTTTGTCTTTTCGCTTGCAATCTGGTACTGCATGTTTAATTCAACTACCGTAGTCACTCGATTCGAAGACGGGGGCTTCTATTTTTTCAATGCCAGTGTTGACGAGGCTTTTATTTGAGAGGGGCTTTTATTATTTCAATCAATACCAGTAGTCCAGTCAAATCCCTACAAAAATTTCATATTCAAAGCAACTCGGCCCTGAGTTAGTTTGCACATCCATGTACATGACTGTACTACGTTGACTTGGACATGTAACGGTATGTGCATGCATGTACAATGTACCTGCACGTGATGTTTTGTACGCACTTGACCTCACCATACATGGCACTACCTGGTCACCCCATGGTTCGCGAATAATAGTCCGAGAGGGGCTTGTATTTTTTCAAACGGTCGTTACAAGTGGGGCTTTAATCGGAGAGAGGCTTCTAATCGAGTGAGTATGGTACATACCGACAACTTTGTATAGTACTTCTCTCTCAATTCACTTAGCCACTAAAAGGGGCAACTTGTCACTGTATGATCATTGGGGCAGTGTGTGCAATGAATGGGACCAAGAGTATGCAACTGGCTGTCCCCCGTGAATTCCGCGGCAGAATATCAGAAATTCCGTGCAGAATCCTGCAGCTGAAAACAGTAAATTTTGCGCGAATTCTGTAAATCCTTCCATACTATTCTGCGGCAATTCTGCAAGGAAAATGAGCATAGAAAAACTAGAAACAGATTGAATTTCCGCAACCCCACCGAAGTGGGTTGTCCCTATAAATTCTGAACCAAAATTTTGCGAAATCTGAAAAAAACAGTTTTTCTCTCTTTTCTGCAATATTCCGCAGGATTTCTAAATTCTGCGGGCACTACTGGATTCTGCGGAAGTTCTGCAATCCGCGGAATCGCGGAATTCACGGGGACAGAACTGGCATTCACCCAGCGCTCGACTACATGCCTACAGTAGTGACTTTACTCCCTCGCACCCAGACGCTGATTTTTTGGAAACAAGTTTCTATACTTCCGATGGGAGAATCCGACATGGCAGTGCATTTCGGCGTGGCCAGGTCAAATTGTAGAATATCGCATCGAGTGAATTGCTTTATCTGAGAGAGCAGATGTTCGTGCCCTTGAGACCCGAAGTCCCGTTTCCATACGACAAAATTTAGGAGCTCTGCGCTCAGCGCTTTTTCAGGGTATGAATTTCGGGTTGTTCTGGTCGGGTCGCAGCATCGCGGACTATACCATCGTCTTCAGCGTCGAAAAACTACTGGCCATGTGAAATTACAAGGCGGTGAGACGCTTTCGTCTTCCTCTACGAGCGAATTTGTTCTGCGCCAGCATACCAAAGTATGCAATTTCGTACGCGCAGTTCGAGTGACGAGGCGTGTGCACTGTACACTGTACTGCATGCACTGACTGTGCGGTCGTTCTCGATTCTCCCATCACTCCCATTCATTTCTGTTTCCAGCAAACGTCCAACTTGGCGCACTTCAAATCACTATAACTCAAGAATGGCTGGGCCGATTTGAATAATACTTACAGATTTCCTATGTACTACGCCTGGGAGAATCGAATGAGACCAAAATCGAAGCAATCGGAGCAAGTTTTGGAAATTGGGTGTAGTCACTACCTACAGTACGTCATGCATAACGCGTCATTCGAGATAAATAATATTTCTTCCTTGCGATTTCTGGCAACTATGCCTTGAACCGCTTTTAACTCAAGGCTCAAGCCCTCGACATTTATGACGGTCGGCAGAGAAGCACAAGAACCTTCAAAGTTTTTCTTTGAAGAAATTTCGGACATACCGGTATGCTCAAAACCATGAACAGGTTCTTTCTCCAAGAATCCCTATTAAAATGGATATCGACAGGAAGAAGTGGGGACACTGTTTGTGTGTTACTAGTGTAGCTTGTAAGTTGTGTGTACCAACTGGTTCGGCAAAGAATATTGCATTGCCACTGAGTCGTTTTTTTATGATTATTTTTTTTGTCTCAGATCGATCGGCCCCGTTATTGGTCGCACAATTATTTCGCCCGGACAACGACCGAAAACGGTCGGAGAATGTCCGATGTCCAACTGTTATTTCATGGACTGTACGCATTTTTCAATTTCATCAGTCGTTTGAAATGATCTTTGAGTAAAGCACCAGAAACATGCCAAGGTTCATGGCACTGTCAAGGGCCCGAGGGATAATAAGTTTTGAAGAGAAGACGATGAAGTGTCAAGGAATCGAAAACTGCTTCGTCTTACTCAAGATCAAGCTTCATCATCAGCTTTTTTTGCTTGTTCACTGGAGGACTCGGATTGAAATTGAAGTTTACGCAGTTTACCCTGAAGAAACTTTCCGGTTTGACTGCAAATTTTCGAAGGATTCTTCGGCATGACTCGTCACACTGCGCCAAAACGACACAATTATTAAGGATTTCCTCCGAGCGGGCTTCCATGCTGCGACTGACCAGGAGTTGCACACTCTTGGGGTGGGGGTATGAAAATCATGTATGGACAACAATGCCAGTGTGGGCCTCATCTGCGATGCCACTTAGCAACTCAATCGATCAAGTCAGTTTCTTATGCCATTGGCTCATGAGTCAGTGTCGATAGATAGATTCTGCTACATGATACTACGTGCCAAAGTACCTATGGGATCCACGCCGGGGTGCGAGGTTCAGTTTCGTACATATTTTTCATACCATTCTCTGTACGCAACACGTCGGACCTTTCCAGCTTGGGTCCAGCGCTTGGGAGCAACACCAATCAGCATCAACTCTGTCCATCAAAACAATTGAAAACATCTTCGAGAAACAGATCCAAAGCTTCCAAAACTTTCTCCACTCGCCATTTGAACTCAATATTATCTCCATCCCATCAAAATTAGTTTTCTTTCCCTTTTTCCTTCCTTGATGTTGACTTTCGAATTTCTGAGTCTCGCGCCATTATTATTTTATTGTTGCCTTGGCGACAGAGATTGCGACATCACTCTCGAACCCACGTGCAGCAGAACTATCTGCACCGTACGAAAAATCCATGCGAAACTTCAGCACGGTTGACCTGGAGTCTGATATGTAGTGCCTTGTGGCAGAAGCCCCTCTAATGGAGAGGTGCGGCACAACAGAATTACGTTAGTAAAACCGTAATCGATCTACAGAAAGTCTTATGTGCACTGCATGCGGATCCGTCGTGTTCATACGTAGTTTTCGAACTACGTAGCTGCAGTAGTCTGCGAGTGGGTGCAGCGATCAGGATGTCGTCCAGGTACTTGGACACGCCTTCCAAGCCAACCAGGAGCTTGTCCATGATTCCTTGGAACACTGCTGGAGCCGATGCAATACCGTAGGGCAGACGATTGAACTGGTAGAGGCCCTTGTGCGTGTTGATGGTAGTCATCTTCTGGGTCGCCTCATCCAACGGCACTTGCAGATACGCCTGCGACAAATCCAGCTTCGCAAAATATTTGCAGCCATTCAGGGAGCTGAAGATGTCCTGCGCTGTCGGCAGTGGGTGCTGGTCCACTCGTAGTTGGGGATTCACAGTGACCTTGTAGTCACCGCAGAGACGAACTGAGCCATCAGGCTTTGGAACAGCCACTACTGGTGTTGCCCACTCGCTGTGCTTGACAGGCTCTATAATGTGCTCCTGCTCCATCTTCCTGAGCTGCTCCTCAACCAAGGGCTTGACAGCGTACGGCACTGAATAGGGACGCCTGAACACCGGTCGTGCGTCCTCTTTCAGATGCAAGGTAGATGCGCCTGTTCGCAGCTCACCAACGTGGCCGTCAAACAAGGTCGCGTTGTCAGCAACTATCCGCTCCAAATCGAGTCCATCCGTAGGTTCGTCAACCCCAAACACGGATGACCAGTCGAGTCGGACGTGTGGCAACCAATTCCTTCCGAGCAGTGTAGCACCCTCTCCTTCAACAATGAGCAGTGGCAATGGCGTTGTACGGCCATCATAGCATACCTCCACTGTGGCTTGACCCAACACATTGATTACATCACCTGTGTACGAGCGCAGCTTGATGTTAGCCGGTTCGAGTTGTTTGTCACTGGTACGGTCCCACGTCTCACGTGACATAAGGCTCACTGCAGCTCCAGTGTCGAGCACCATTGTCGTTTCCACCCCGTCTAACATCACATTCACAGTAAGCTTGGGACGGGACTCTACCGAGTACACATCACCAACTTCATGCTCCTCACATACAAAATTGGTTTGGTGTTGGTCGCCCTTTTTCGTACGACACACCTTCTCGAGGTGCCCACGCTTGTGGCAGTAGTGGCACTCGGAAGCCTTGAAGCGACACTGTGAAGGAGCATGGTCCTTATTGCCACAGCGATAACAAGGCGCAGCCCCGTCAGTAGTGCTGCTAGCGCTGGCTCCGGACTTGCCTCGCTGTCTAGGTGCAGGTGGCTGTCTCTTGTGCCAAACGGCATGGACATCGCTGGACTCGGAGGTAGATCTACCCGCGGCCATCAAGCGCGCAGCCTCGCGATCGACCACCTCCTGAGCTGCAGCCGTTTTCAGAGCAGTCTCCAAAGTGAGGGCATCGATGGTCAGCAATTTTTTACAAACGACAGCGTCTCGTATGCCACAGACGAACCTGTCGCGGATGGCATCTTCCAGACCATTGCCGAAGTCACAGGTCTTTGCCAAACGTCGTAGCTCAGCGGCATAGTCATGATAACTCTCACTTGCCTGCTGGCTGCGGCTCCAAAATTTGTAGCGTTCCGCAATTGTCAGACGCTTAGGGGAAAAGTGTGCAGTCAGAGTCTGTCGCAGCTCTGAGAGGGACTTGTCATCCAGTGTTGCTGGTGCGATCAGCGTCACTAGCAACCTGAAAACACTTTCTCCTACAACTGTCAAGAATACAGATTTCTTCCGCCCGTCCTCAATTTTATTCGCTTTGTAGAATTGATCCGGCCTGGCCAGATAAGACTCCCAGCCATCAGCATCCGTAGATGTGAAGGGGCCCAGGTTTCCGAGCAGCGCCATGATCCAATCTTCGTCGCCACTTGTTATATCGGGTTCAGCAAAGCACAATCACAGGGTCGGAGAAAACTACCATTACAAGTACATCTGGAAGAACAGTCCGAAAAGCAAGCAAGGCGCGGGAAAAGAACACCGCTCCACTAGAAGTTATGCAGATTCAGAGACCGCGCTTGCGGACTGGTGTACACACAATAATGATGTCATGCAACTACACATACACTACACCCATGACAGCTATGGAACACGAAGTGTACAAACCAGAGAGAGCAAGCCATAATTGTATCCCCCGATCCAGTTACAGGGCACCTCCGTTATTGAAGCCCACGTACGTACTCTACGTAGACAACTTTCCGTAAGTAGAGTGCACACTCGCGAAGTCATGGGTTTTTCCTGCCCCGCTTACGTATTGCTCAGCTTTACGTAGCGCGGAACCTCTCTAACATCGCTCTACTGCATGGATAACGGAAGTGATATGGCAGGGTAGGCGTATCTGTCATTCATGTCACTCTGAACCATTTTGGAATGGCTGAGGATTTTTTTAGGGAATTATCAATACGGCAACTCAATTCCTGGTGCTGAGTATTTGCTAAATTATTACCTTAGGAAGTACACAGAACGGCAAAGGACAATGCTAGTCTGCTGCTTCTAGCCTTGCTCTTTGTTGTTCTGTGTAATGCGCTCTGCCTCCGCAGTCTTGAGCATTCTCAGCACACTGGGTGCATCCTCCGGTACCTTACGAAGTATGTCGCTCATATGCTATTGTGGTTTATTTGCTTGCTTACAGAACCGCACATTCTTCTCTTCAGACGATCAAAGCCACTTGGCACGTGAGCTGTTGCATCATCACTATGTCTCTCTGTCTCCCTCTCTCTATCCATCTGTCTACCTATCTCTATGTCTCACACTCACTCTCACACACGCACACACCACACCACATCACAGCACATATCAATGTACTCATGCATGCATGCATGCACACACGCAGACCTTCATACTTCGCCATAATGATTAACCTACCGGATAACATGTGAGAATGCTATTGCACATGGCCTATGGCTTTCTTAGATCTATCGCATGCATAGTATTTGAATTTCCCTTTTTAACCCTTGCTGCTGGCACTGCTTGCTTCTTAGCTCATGTACATGTATGTAGGATTTAGCTGCACCCGTTTCTTCTAAGATAATGCCCGTGCGCTTGATCGCTGCTCTGTGGTGTTCTCTATGCTCTGCACACACGCGCACATGCGCAGCTGACACTCGTGCTTAGTCAGTTTCTATTGGAAATCTTTCATCTGTAGGTTTGCATCGATGCCGTTCTCTCTAGTATAAGAACATGCACAGCTCACTAGTTAGTTGACAGCAGCGGTCTGTCCGCTCCTCACTGCACAGGACTAATATATTTCGTGTCGCCCCTGGCCGTGCACGGTCGGGGGCCTGAGGTGCTGCGTGCAGGGGTCTACCTCTTCACTGTACCTATCCCTCTGCTGCCAAAATACTGGGTTGAGTTTTCATCGTTTTTCCCCCTATTCGAGATGCCAAATCTTGTTGACTATTCCGAGATATATATCTTCTTCTGAATTCGTTGTTGTATCAGGATTTCCCACCACACCATATCGTTATGGCCCCGGTGTTTTATTTATGCTCACATCCCCGTTTTAGCTCTGTTTTCGGTTTGGCTGCTTAGCCCTTTTCTGCCGACTCGGTCGATAAAGATCGACTTGGCATTATGTTTGTATGTGTGGGCGGTGAGTTGTCGGTGTAGGATTCCCCGCTCACCCTGTCCTGCTTTTTGTGTTTCTGATCTTGATATTGTGTTCTCGAAAATATACGTATGCTTTATAAATGGCTCTTTGTTCGCACTGTGCTCCCGTGCGCTCCTCGATCGTGGTCGTACACACTGTGTGCGCGCGCGTGTGTGTGTGGTGTACGTGCGTGCGTCAGTAAGTCGGTTGCATGTAAGATTCCAACTGACTGTAAGGTGTGATGTCACCCCATTAGGCATTATTCATTTATTGACTTGAAGCTGGTGACCACCAGCCTGGAGCCTGGAACGGTGCAAGACTTGAAGTTGAAGTACACGTACATGGTAGATCCTACTGAGTACTACTGGCTCCAGTTTAGACGCAACACTGCACGTGACCTTTGTGAGCCCTTGTGCTGCACCTACCATTGTACCAAAGACTTATAACAAAGTTTTTGTAGTTATTATTATGCATGATGATCATACTTGTCATACTTCAGTACTGACGGACTTGTCAGTAGCTGGTAGTGGTAGGACCATCATTAAAGGGGAAGTATACCCTAAAATCAAATTTTCACCAGTTGTAGTCTTCTGGGTGCTGAGTCGAATGGTCTTGGTCCGAGGAAGCTGAGACGCTCCCTTCCTACTTGAATCCCAATCGAACTCGCGCACTTCCACCGAAACTGGGTGACTGCGCCCTACTAGATGGGGATTTGTATGCAAAATGTCACTAAAAGCGCCATTTCGTTCTTATAAAAGCACGGATGACCGCGATTGGCCCATATGTTGTAGTCTTTTGGACGCTAACTCGACTGGTTTTGGTCCGAAAAGGCTGCGATGCAGCGTTCCTCCTTTATTCCCAATCGAACATGGTTGAACAAGCGGTCACGTGCTCCTGGGTGCCCAAATCACCTGGTCACCGCGCCAGCAGGCGACAACTTTCACACCAAGGTTCAACTCGAGTTCAACTCGAGTGACAGGACTGCACCCAAAAAAGGTCAAACAGGCTAGTAAGTTGTACCCTGGAGGCACGGTGACCAGGTGACTGGTGTACGCAGGAGCACGTGACCGCTTGTTCAACCATGTTCGATTGGGAATATAGGAGGAACGCTGCATCGCAGCCTTTTCGGACCAAAACCAGTCGACTCAGCGTCCAAAAGACTACAACATATGGGCCAATCGCGGTCATCCGTGCTTTTATAAGAACGAAATGGCGCTTTTAGTGACATTTTGCATACAAATCCCCATCTAGTAGGGCGCAGTCACCCAGTTTCGGTGGAAGTGCGCGAGTTCGATTGGGATTCAAGTAGGAAGGGAGCGTCTCAGCTTCCTCGGACCAAGACCATTCGACTCAGCACCCCGAAGACTACAACTGGTGAAAATTTGATTTTAGGGTATACTTCCCCTTTAATTTTTAGTCCGTCATTCAGTCAAGCAGATCGACAGGCAGTTCACCCGAGTATTCGTTGAGATCGCGTGTTTGTCCTCAACTATTCATGACAGATGATAAGTATCCACTCGGATCCAGCGCATGCAGTACACACCCAGAACAAACTTTTGTTTTCGTGATGAGCTGATCCATTCTAAAAACTGTCAAAACAGCGAGCGAGCGGTCTTCATACATGCAGGACTTCCATTGTTCCAGGTCAGGGCCATGGGCATTTCTTTTTGTATAAGCATGTCGATGAGCCTTCCGGATGGCCATCGCTAATCGGGCACCTGTGTGGGGGAAACGAGAGCTGCTAGCGTCCACGTCCTCCGTCCGGCCGTGACGGCTTGTGCGCGAGTGACCATGGCTGTTTATACTGTCAACATTGAGCGGGACGGTGGAGAGCTGGGCTTCAGTGTCAAGGGAGGAAGAGAGCACGGCATTGGCATACTGGTGTCCAGCGTCGACCCACGTGGAATAGCCCGTACGTAGTCCCGTGTACTAGTATCCCTCACATGTGCGCTGCTGCACTGGCACTAGCACTGGATACTTGCTGTACCTTGTGTTTTTCTTCTAAAATCCAGAAAACACTAACAATCAAATTTATTCTTTTGATGGAGCTCAACATACTAAAACAGTCAAATTTAGAATTTAAACACATTGTTCAGCATGTAGACGAACGCTGCAGCACCAGGGCTTCAGTGGACGCCATAATCCGAGTATTGTCTAGATAGGCCACGGCAATAGTCACATAACTTGTGCCTGCCGTCCCATCTTCTAAGGATAATCTTGTGGGATGTTCGCAATGCACTGTTACGTCGAACCTAATTTTGTCGACAGTACGCTAGCCAGGCCATACTTGGCGACAGCGCGGGTCCGTCATGGCAAGGCCTGCACCATACATTCATTCCTGCTATCCACTTGACTAGCACTACAGTACTGGTGGGTGCCCGAGAACGAGCAGCCAGGCTAGAATTCCACCAAGCACAGCATACCAATGTATACACGGTGACTCAACTGTGCACAGACTGTAGTCCCTGAAAATAGGAACGGTCTAGGCTACGAGGCTGACCCGTCCCAGTTCTCCGGCACCCGGCAGTACTGCAGTTTCATTACCCGGCTACTCGGGCTCAACTGGTGAGCGGCGAATATCTAGAGCCACTGTCTACTGTAGAGGGAGTGCCGTGTGCTTCATTGCAGGTTTGCTGATATTACAGAGGTTAAGATGCGCGCTATTTCTGACGTGAGGCAAAAGTTCAGCTCGCGTTTTTTGGCTCGCGAGTGACCTGCAGCTCACGTTGAAATTTGGAGTTTTACGCCAAATTTGACGTGAAATTGCACGTCGCGTCGGAAATAACGTGCATCTTAACCTCTCTATTATGAGTTTGGCATAGTTCTTTTGTGCATGGGACAGTGGCAGTGAGGCAGTCAAGTGCTGTCATGTCAGCATGAACTGGGTGGGCCGCACCAGCTACTGGTGGTAGATCAGGCTTCTAATCAAACCAGGTATCTCTATGTGTGTTAACACTAGAACCAGGTATCTCTATGTGTGTTAACACTAGAACCAGGTATCTCTATGTGTGTTAACACTAGAACCAGGTATCTCTATGTGTGTTAACACTAGAACCAGGTATCTCTATGTGTGTTAACACTAGAACCAGGTATCTCTATGTGTGTTAACACTAGAACCAGGTATCTCTATGTGTGTTAACACTAGAACCAGGTATCTCTATGTGTGTTAACACTAGAACCAGGTATCTCTATGTGTGTTAACACTAGAACCAGGTATCTCTATGTGTGTTAACACTAGAACCAGGTATCTCGATGTGTGTTAACACTAGAACCAGGTATCTCTATGTGTGTTAACACTAGAACCAGGTATCTCTATGTGTGTTAACACTAGAACCAGGTATCTCTATGTGTGTTAACACTAGAACTAGGTATCTCTAGTGTGTTAACACTAGAACCAGGTATCTCTATGTGTGTTAACACTAGAACCAGGTATCTCTATGTGTGTTAACACTAGAACCAGGTATCTCTATGTGTGTTAACACTAGAACCAGGTATCTCTATGTGTGTTAACACTAGAACCAGGTATCTCTATGTGTGTTAACACTAGAACCAGGTATCTCTATGTGTGTTAACACTAGAACCAGGTATCTCTATGTGTGTTAACACTAGAACCAGGTATCTCTATGTGTGTTAACACTAGAACCAGGCTTATGTGCCGACAGTGTATCTTGAAAATCAGGCTTGTATTCAAAACAGGCTTCTATATGAGACAGGCTTTAATAAGCTAATATCCCCAAGAACACGTACCGGTGAAGGTCAAGAGACCCGGCACCTAGTTTCAGCAACCACCTGGTGTGTAAGACCGGTATTCTGGCACTACTGTACATGTGTGGAACCGTGCCAGGATCAACCTGGTTTCGGAGACCACCTGAATTGAAAGACCGCATTGTCCCGGTCCCATGGGTGGTCGCTGCAACCGGGCTTCAAACGTACTAATGTATGGAATTAGCAGAAAGTAGTGTGCCATCAGCTCCGTGCGGTTCTTTACTTTGCAGATAGCCTGCTGGAAGTTGGCGATGAGATTCTCTATGTGAACGGGCTTCGGCTGTGCGACATGACGCATGGCGAGGCAGTGCAGATCATCAGAGGCGCAGGCAACGACCTCACGCTGACCATTCAACACCATGCGTCCATCCAGTGTAAGTTGATTGATTGATAGACTGATTTTTAGTAAGGATTGTACAAAGGCTGCGGAAGAGGCTATCGAGTTAAGTTGGTGATGATACACACTGATGTACACATGAAAAAGGGTAGAGTGGATTTTGGGGCGCCGAATCTAGCCGACGGACAAAGAGCCCGGACATACACTGCATGGCTTGAAATTGACACACCACAGCTGGAGTCATGGAAACACTTGACGTTTACATCAAGTGTTCATGCTAGTGTACTACTGCAATGTCCCTGCCTCGCTTTACGCAACTCTCCACTCTAGTAACTGCTTCTCGGGCGCTAGTCCACTCCCTGGCACTGTGTGTGGTATTCACAATGACAAGAAACCTATACTACATGTAACTGTTATAAGTAGAAAGTGCGTGTCGTTGTTGTACGGGCTGTTCACCATGACTGTTATCCGAGCTAGCCGCAATATTCTTTACTTGTCCTGCACACTCTTTCGCCTCGCCACTCACTGGGGCACCTGCTGCCGTTTGCTTTGTTGGTACATGATCATCAATACTGAGACTGTTTCTAATGCGGGTGATTGTGGTGTTATCCACTGGCGTTTGATTGTTACATGCACACAGCGGCTCTAGCAACATCTGTGGGCGACATTGAGAAGATGAAGACGGACTTTGAGCGGATGCGCGAGAAGATCCGCAGTCGTCCACTGGCGCCGACACAGGCGATGCAAGGTGCACCCGAGGCGCGGTCATTTCCTTTTCCGCCGTTCCTGTCCTCGCGCTGGACCACGTCCCGCGAGGATGACTCCGTGATCCAATCACCCACGGACCCGCCAACGGACAGCCCTATGCTCAAAACGGAGGCCGAGCCGAGTCAGAACGATTCCGTGGCGGTCTCGCGTGCGCCGAATAGGACACCATCGTCAGGAGTCTTGCCCGGTATGAGTCAGCGGCCGGTATCTCGGGAAGAAACCGATGGTGGCAGTGAAGCGCATGAGCTACAGCGAGGGATGAAGATAGTCAAAACATCTAAAGGTATTGTATCTTCCAGGGTCAGGGCTGCAGTTCGGTTAGTGCCTCGCAAACTTTGCCCCTCCAGCTCTTTGACACAAAATGTCAAATCCCAGTTTGTATCTATTGTTTGTATTGCGGAAGATGGACGCCGGCCATTGTGATGAGATAAGTGATTGTGATCACCCGGTGGCTGTTATGCTTTTCTGTTTCCTTCTCCCACTGCCGGGTGTTTTCAGTGTCTGACGTACGGCGTGGCTCGTTGCCAGAGGGTTGGGTACAGCGCCTGGACCCGCGCACCGACCAGTGCTACTATGAGAAGTAAGGCTGCGTACCGTAGTGTCCTGTATTAAAGAGCCTGTCTCATATAGAAGCCGGTTTTGAATACAAGCCTGATTTTCTAGATACATGGTAGGCGGATAAGCCTGATTTTAGTGTTGACATACATAGAAATACCTTGTTTGACTAGAAGCTTGATGTGAATAGAAGCCTAGCCTTGACATCGGTCTCTACAGGAACAAACCCGGCTTTAAAATACGCCACATTACGGGTATGTACAGTTGCGCTCGGTGAGATCCGAAACGAAGAGCACTGTTGGGAGAGAAGCAGCTACCTGGAGGGTATAACAATCCCAAAAATCGCAACAGAGTTGTCTTTGCTGTGGTAGTGATAAGCAAATGAAGTGGGTCGGCCAATGTAGAGTGATAGAGTACTAAACTGATATTGAAATGATAATGTTCATAAAAAGAACGAGTAATGTCTTGAAGAAGGGAAAGTCCCTTGAGACTAGCACTACAGTACACTGTTATAAGTTATCGAAGAATGAAGCGACTCCGATATGCGATCAGCTTACATTGCTGATGCTGCTGTGTTGTGCCGGTGTTTGTCGCAGCCACTGGCTAGGTTTGTCGTTCTGGACTGACCCACGCACACTGCCGCCCGCTGCTGATGTTCTAAAGTACGACTGGTCAGGTATGTACACAGAGAGTAGACTTGAAAAGCAATGGTACAAAAGGCCTAGTCGAAACTATAATTATGGCTTCTGGGCTGCGTGTGTTGGTTTGTTGCCCTTCAATCACTGAATAATCTGAGATAGTAATATTCTGATTATATGCGCCGACCAGACACCTCCACTAGAACAGCACAACATACCATTACTACAGTCTAGTTGTTTTGTGCATCTCTCTTTAGGCGGCTTAGACATTGGTCAGCTGAAGCATGCACCTTGAAATGGTCATGTTGAACCTGACGTTGCAACTTTGTTGGTTGGCGTGCTACTCCCCCCCCCCCCCCCCCCCCCCCCGTTCTTATCTGCGTTGTGTGCTAGTCACACTTTGGTACCGGGTATTGATAGCACACCGCTAGTGGTATGACAGGCGACCAAGATTTGAATTGTGGCAAGGTGCTGTGCTCTAGACTTCTAGTTGCAAGTTGGTTTTCGTATCTTGTCTGCTTTGTCCATTGTGTCCAGATTTGCCAATCGGTTGGAAGCAGTTTGTTGATAAGAATGGCTTTGTCTATTACATAAAGTACGCTTGTCAACAGTCTCACTGTGCAGTTGTTGAAGTTACGAGTTTTTAAGTTAAAAGCCCTGTTGTCACGCTACGACCCACCCAGCACTACTTAGCACTCGATTTCAAGTTACTTGGGAAGAACTATTGTTGTTCACTTCGAAGTAGGTAAAAAATGAAAAATGAAAGAGGAAGTCAACTGGATTCGAACAGAAGCAAAGAATGTAGAGAGTACAGGAGGCAGCATGCATAATGCATCTGGGAACCAGCGAACACAACGCGCACACTTGCAGGTCACGGAGTACCATGAAATGCACAGGGCCGGTCCTGAACGGTGGACATGTGAAATCGGCGATGTGGTGCAGCATGATGGGAATGTGCTAGTCCAGAAAGGCAAACACATGAATGCAAGGAGACGGAAAAAGTCCTTTTAAAATAGTTACTATGGTCTAATGGACAAGTGCATCTGTGCAATGTGTGCCGCTACACGATCGTCTTCTTTCCGGCAAGTTTGATTAGCACAAGGGCCATAGGGCACCTGCATAAGCAGGTCATCAGTCTGCAGTTGTGTAGATTAAAGTTGTGTCCGGGGTGTCATGGAAGCATGTGGTATTACTTACCAACCTTTGGACTGGGTCAGTAGCAGACATGCATGCATGTCCGCTACTAGCTGTGTTTATGTGTGGACCTCTGCTTAAAGCTTGGACATAATCATGACTGTGTGTACACGTTGCTGGAGCACAACCAGCAGATCAGGTCCTCCGTGAAATCTCTGGGGCACCGGGGAAATACCCCACATGCCAACCAAAGCACAGTATGCTGTCTGTTTCTATGCAGTCACCACAACCACACCAGCCACTGGGAATCACCTACACTGACGCAACAGTCCAAGCTCCTAGCCCAGGTCAAGACACATTACAATGAAGTGGACGAGCGGCTTCAGGTAATACTTGCTTGCATATCAATTACCTGAGCAGTACGTTCTAACAGTATTGAGATGCCTTTTTGTTGGCCCGATCAAGCCTCTTGTATGGGCAAACAGAATACAATGCATGGTGCCATGGTGAAGGATTAGAACACAACACCACACTTTTCTGCCTGGATTTCGTTGACAAATGCGTTAAACCCATCATCCTGAGATCCTTCCATGAGTGACATGCGAACTGTAGCTATCATTATCACTATTATTGAAAATCATGTTCGAGTAGATGTTTATGTCCGGTGCAAAGATTGCATTTGACAGTGTTGGTTGAAACCAGTATTCTTTGCACGGATATGTGCCTGCACTCCGTATTATCGGTAAAAAATGTCTTGAACACAGTAGGTATGAGGATAGTCGTATTGACGTATGTGTTGTGAGAGAAACGCGTGTCTGTCCAAGAGCGCACACTTAGCAATGTCCTGCCGTTTGGCTGTTGTCTCCCTGTAGGCCGAAGCTAAAACACTGAAGCAGAAGCGGGAGGCGCTGCTGAAGAACCGAGATGAGTTACAGCGTCTTACTGCGCAGCGCGATGCAATGGAGAAGCCAGGCACGCCAGCATCCACCTCTTCCAGTGGAAACAGTTCACGGGACCAGGACATTAAGAATTCACTAAACGGTCTAGTGTCGGCCGTCGTTGAGGAGGTCATGCAGCTCAACGAGGCCGTCGAGGGCTTGTCATCGCAGCTGGGCGATTACCGCAAGGGTTTAGCGGCACTGGAGGTGCTGAGACGGCAAGCCCAGGAGGAGCTGAACTCCGGTACTGACCTGGTGTCACAATCCTCCAACCTGGCCAAACAACTACACAGCACCTTTGCCGAGACGGTGTCACTGCACCGACAGAAACTTGCGGCACTCTATCGTCTGGAAGGGCAGCGCAAACGCCAGCGTAGAAGGTCTTCTATGGTACGTAGTCTTCGCATTATTCTGTATTTCCTCTTTGAGGGGACCTCCACAAGTTTTTGGACGGGCCCCCACTGCAATATGCCTTGTTGATATTTGTTATTTTTTTATTTACTGTCTGCACTTCATGGCACATAATGAAAATAGCCAATACAGTGTGTCTGCAATAGAACTTGTTTTATATGATCACTGTATTTGCTATAGCCCTAGTTTTTTTTGCTCTAGTGAAAATTCATGCCATCCTGACTATTTCTGATTTTTGAACCAACCACATGGTCCCATACTGTAGACATGCACGGTGTGTGTTTGTGTTTTGTGTGCGTGTGCGCGCACGCGCGCGCGTGTGTGTATGTGTGTGTATATGTGTGTATGTTTTCTCCTATCAGCTGGCCGGTCCGGGCAGACTGAACGCCTCGTTGTCACCGCAGCGTTCTATTTCCTTCGACGGCGGTGAGTGCCTGTCCCCGGACACGTCACTTCTGTACATGCTGCAGCTGCCCGATGCCAAGCCAATGCCAGCCAGCGTCGATTCGGACGGTGATGATGATACGGATGGCATGGACAACGGCTTGATCCGCTTGCCAGCAGACCCACGTGACACCAAGCTAGCTCGGCGGATACACGTGCTTGGCGACGAACTGACGGTCAAGTGCAACCTGGAAATGCGCGTGGACATTGCCCTACTGCAGCAACTCTCGACGTCTTCGCGCTCCTGCCTCGGCCTGCTCAAGTCCTGGGAGGAAGAGGTGCGTCACAACAGCCACGCCTGGACATCTGTCGTGGATAAGCTGACGGGCTTGGAGGACCTGATGGAGACGGCTCACTTTGAATGGCTAGCCCTGAGATTCAAGTGAGTGATGTTTAGCTAAGGAGAACTTGGATAGAGTGGGCGCCAACTATGTTTACCTGGCTAAGAATTTTGGGCGCATAACAAATCCGGAGCTTCGCTATTCACTCAGTATTCAGGGCCATGACACTAGGATATCAGCTGGTCCGGCCAATTGGGGTCTTTGGCCGGAAATAGACATTATTGATGACGTGAAGACCCCGTTTGCACGAATGGGTGGGTCAACTTTCTTTAAAAGGAATATGGTTTTGTATATTGCCTATATTGCCTTCTGCACTCGTGTGCAGACTGTGATGCTTGGGTGGCGACAGACAGCTTAAAGGGGAAGTCCGGTGAAAAATTTAAATTTCACAGTCCGTAGAGTTCGGGTCGCTGAGTCGAATGGTCTTTGTCCGAGGAGGCTGCGGCTTATGGTTCGTCAGATACGCCCAATCGAACATGTGCGAATTTGAGCGCGCATCACCCAGATCCAGGTGATGACGTCACAGCGTGCAGCCAGGTAGCCACACCATCTAGTTGTGCACAAAAATGGCCATATTCGGAGTGCGTTCGATTGGGGAACCGTTTGTCGCAGCTTCTTCGGACCAAGACCATTCGATTCAGTGTTACAAACACTACGTACCCTGTGATTTTCAGCTCGGTAAACCTGGAGGTTATACCGTATTATAGCCGTTTCCGAGTGGGACTTTTCCGTCAGCCTAGCCTCTACGCGCTCTGCGCTGCGTGCATGCAGTGCGTGCAGTGTTATGTGTTATCTAGCTGTAGTGCAGTCAACAAACTCATCACAGACGGAACTACTCCCGCACTGCCGTGCGAGGGTAGTATGATTGTACAAGACTCGAGTCACAACGTGCAACTGACACAAGACTCAGAAAACTAGTCAACACACGGACTTGTCATGTACTACACTCGTATCAGCTCAGTCGTATTGTTCAGTCATGTAGTCAGAGAACGTGCGTTTCTCCTTGCCGGTGCCGGTGGTTGTGCTTTGAGAAAGAAAATTTTAGTTTTCCGCACCCGCCTCATTATTATTTTTATGTTACAGCGATGAGTGCACAACCGTGACAAGTGACAAAACAGCGAACAGCTCCCGGACCTAGAACTTTCAGATTCCATAGCGTTGCGAGCGAAGAGTCGTGCCCGTGGTTCAAAGAGCCTGCACTGTTCTCCAATTGAGTAGTCCGAAATATTCCAAGTTCGCACCAAAACATCACCATGTGGCAGGCTACTGGAGTCTAAGCGAATCTAATCGGTATGGAACAACATTTAGAGCACTCGCATCACTCTTCTCCATTTTGGCGACCCTGCTCTCCAGCGATCTGATCAGCCTCGTCTGCAATAGCTGCTGCTTCTTCATCAGTCGGAAACTCAGTAGCGCTCACTCTTGACCGGCCCGCGTGGCCATTTCTTCAGCTGAATACCGAGGTTCTCAGCCCCAGACCGAACTCATGAAGGTCAGCCATGGCTGCATCCTCACTCTCACAAGGAGTTACAGGTCTTCGGGGTCGCTTGCACCAAACTATCAGTCGCCAAATCATTTGAAATAGCACTGACACTATTGGCTTTCACGCACTCCTTTTGACCTAGCTGCACGCTATGACGTTGCAGAGGGTGTGGCGCGGCCGCATGACGTCATGGCGCAGCCCCCGAAACTCAGTTTTTCAAACGGAAATATCTCGAGAACGCTTTGTCGGAGACACGTGGGACCAACACCATTCGACTCAGCGCCCGAAACTCTACCGACCCTGAAATTTAAATTTTTCACCGGACTTCCCCTTTAACGTCACAGTTATCGCACTCCAAAGATTGTGATATCTTATAGAGGTTATGCATGTGACGTCATGGTGGTGAGACAGCGGATTCCCTAGTGGGCGCAAAGTATACATGTACAGCGCTAGTCGTTGGTTTTGCTGGTGCTAGTGAGTCGTGGTGTCGAGACTTTGACACTCTGTACAATCGTCTTAAACTGATTATGTAATCCCCTAGCCTCTATACATGTAGATGGTATGCGATTGCATCATCAGTTGAGATGCTGTGGCGAAGTCGCGGCACAACGATGCACTAGCGACTCGCGCTGCATACAATAGCCGCTATAAGCGGTTCCGCTGACTCACCACCATGACATCATCTGGATAACCTCTATACACTAGTATACAGTACTTCTCAGATATGGTATAGAGTCTGCTGTGCTGGTACCTGGAGGTTTTCAAGTGTGCTGCCAAGAATGCATGAAAGGACCAGAGAGCACAGCCATTCATGAGGCTGGCATAGTCAGATCTATCTGATCTTAGTCAGTAGAAGTGATCTAGCATACTCTGTGTGCTGCCACCGGGTAGTGATACAATGGTTCACTGTGGGACTATCATGACTCCTTTGGTAACTGGTGGTTCGAGTATGCTGGATCTGGGAGTGGATGCGACAATGGCATTTTGCCCCGGCATTTGTGCGCTGCACATAGTGGTAACTGAAGTTGGTGGTGAATGCTGTACTGAGCGACGTGTTCCAAGACTTGTGGAAGGCTGAGGAAGTGGTCAGTGCTGTTCGCTAGCTATACCTTATGTTCTACCCACGCTAGCATCAGCAGCCTGAATACGAATAAGTTAGCAACCTAATTAAGTTTCCGTTTTCAACTTTTGATTGTAAGAATCTGAGGTGTCGCATGGAGGTTTGAAACATGCCAGGCTAAACGGCCCATCGACGTACCATACTTTAAAAAATAACTTCAATGCTACTGGACTTTGTGTGATAACAATACTGGTCATGAATGCCAATGTCACCAGTCCCATGCATTCGGAGTGACGGCACTTCTCCTCATTGACAGTTTCGATTGTTCATTCTGTGTTTACGGCACTGTGCTGCATCCAGGGAGAAATTGAAGAAGCTGACAGGTAGCTGATTGGACTAAACTCACACACCGAATGGCTCACTGGTAGCAGTGAGGTTGACGTATTCCAAAGTTGTGACCGGTCATCCCAATGATATCGGCTCTAGTCACTTTTCACACAAAATCCGTATAATCAGCATGGCGGATCCTATCTGTGAAAGCTGCAGTCAGTCATATTCAATCCCAATCCAGGCAACTGCAACTGCATGCACAGTACAGCTTTACAGCTATTCACGCCACGGCCTTATGGCCGCTTATTGGATAAAGCAAGCCATGCATGCTGGCACCGATTCAGGGCCCGGAGTGGCGTTCTGCGCCTGCGTCTAACATCTCAAGCACCGCCTTGGAGCTGTGGTGACCGATATCCTAAGTTATTCAAACTATCTGCAGCATAATAACAGATCCGAGCTGCCAATTTTAGAATCAAAGCACTTGAAAAACCTATAACTTTATGATTTGAAAATATCACCAAAATTGCTAGGAAGCTTCTTTCTTATGCTTAGAAACTAGGTAGTGGTTTAATTCTCCAGCTAACAGTTTGAAGTTACCCCGAGGCCCAGTGATCATATGAGTCGTCTCATCTTCATGTTCATATGCATGTACTTATGAAGTAATTGTCATAGTACATGGCCATATGCCACATTGTCCTAGTGCACACTGCATCGTATGCCATGTTGATGGTATTAGAGTATCTGCAAGGGGACTGGGATCAGTCCGATCCTGGTCCAGGCTTAAGATCCCACCCTGGCACATGCATGATGGCATTCGATCTCAGGTGGTGCAAGCCTGCCCCCTCTCTTTCTATGGTTCCCTGGTGGTTCCCTGGTGAGTGGTGGTTCCAGTGGGAGAATGCATTAGCCGCACAGCGCAGCCTACTGCAGAAGTCTACCGACCCACGACCGTCTGTGTATTGTATGCTGCCGCCGGCGGCGACGCTAGACCTACGTACGACCTAACGTTGTACATGTCCAGCTAGTACTGGTTCTCAGTGTTGGCCCACACTCGTGCCATGGCCTGACATGCCTATGCATAGCCAGGGAGTCACACAAACTCTTAATTTATTGTGAGCACTTTTTTTTATGATGTTCACTTGGCATCACGCATGGCCTTGAATGGGCAAAGGCAGTAGTTGCCGTCTTACAATTTTTTTTAAAATTTCGGCCAGTATGGCAGGACTGTATACTCCGTTTTGGGGTTGTTGTGAGGCATGCATATGGGCAAGTTGCCATATAGGGGTGTGAGCCCGCCACTTGGCATCGGAAGTACATGTACAGCTCACTGGAATAGGTTCTGATCTCTGCATTTCTCTGCATCAAAGCTGTTACTAACTGTTAGTACATACTTCGAAGTACACAAATAGGAGATCCCCCAGATAGGCGTTAGCCTTTGGGTAATCCTGAAATAAAGATTATCATTATTATTAAAATGCCTACCCCATCGATCCCATTGGATCGATGCTTGTATGTACGGACAGTAAAGGGTTAAAGCTTGATAAGCTGAGCCTGGTACCGGTAGAATGAAGCTTGGATTTATGTCACGGATTGTGACTTCCTAGTAACTTGCATATCTAACACAGTAATAATTGTAAACAAAGATTGTAGATCGGTGTGCCAGAACATCAGTCTCGGTGATGTGAGTTCTTGAACTTCTGTACAGAAAATGGACCTCGTTCCGGGGTTGGATCTCTTACGGTCTCCTGCTATGACTCTGAGTCATATCAAGAGTACATAAATTGGAAAGGCTTCCTGTCTGAAGCCTTTCCATACTGGTACTCGATGTTCCAGTTTTGTGACACGAGAATGGCACGAGAATTAGTGTACCGCTGAGTGTACCGCTATACACGTGGTCGACACGTAGTCGACACGTTGTTGATACTTTTTTGACACGTGACCCCGTCAACGGTCTGCTTTGTGCCAATGCCACTCGGTAAACGCCGATGTCGCCTACGACAAAGACGACTATCCCGTACGCGAAATAGTTGAGAACTGCATGACGTGGACCTGACGGCAAGGACAACTGCGAGGAGGCCCCTTTCGGTACCCCTGACGGGAAGGAGAACTGCAGAAGTCGACGAAGTCGAACGAGGAGGCCCCTTTTCCGTACCCCATACTGCAAAGTGCCATTGATGGATACCTTTTGCACCTGGAACAACCCCTTAAACGCTGTCGCGGCGACTATCCCGTACGCGAAATAGTTGAGAACTGCTGACGTGGACCTTTTGCACCTGGAACGGCCCCGTAAACGCTGTCGTGTCGGCGGAGTGAATGTGCAGGGTACTAGGGTGAAAAGAATTGCTGCAAAGACGTCCCCTCTACTAGGCTCTAGGCCTTTGCCTTTGGAGACATCGTCGGCGAACTGAATGCGCAGGGCGAAAAGAATTCCTGCAAAGACGTCCGCTCTAGGCCTTTGGAGACATCGTGGGAACTCCTTCCGGTACTATACAAACTGCTGACGTGGCCGTGGACCTGTACATGGAGAGTCATGGTGGGACTTCATGTACATGGATACATGGTGGGAATTCCTTCCGGCACCCCCGTACCGCAAAGCCAACGGTGGGGAAGGAGAAGTGCAGACGTGCAGGAAGACGAACGAGGAGGAACCAGGACGAGCGAGCAATGGCAGGACTAGCTGGACCGTAAGTAATAGCTGAATTGTGCATGACAACTTGACATCCATGCGGCACTCGCCACTTGCCACTGCATATTTCTTGTCCACTAACAATGTCTCTCCTCTGCCCCCTGTGTGTCCACGGCCCTGTTTCTGAATTGGCCCGATGAATCGAATGTCTTCCGCAACTGGAACGGCCCCGTGAACGCTGTCGCGTCGGCGACTGAATGCGCAGGAGGGAAAATATTGCTGCGAAGACGTCTCCTCTAGACGACGGTAAGGCACCCCATTGATATGTTGCCAGTGTGTGCCAGGGTATCGCGCGATGGTGAATGAGGAATGATGAAGGGTACGGTGGGACTGTAGACCTGTTACCTTCTACTAACACGTTATCAGGTCGAGAGCATATTGTAGTCACTCTCTCTATTCCTGTACTTCATTGCGTTTAAGGTGTACGTATAACTTCTCAAAAAAATTTAATGGTCTACAGTCGTGTCGGAAGGGTACGGTGGGACTGTAGACATGTTACCTTCTAACACGTTATCAGGTGGAGAGTGTCTTGTACTCACGTTATCACTATTATCAGGTCGAGAGCGTATTGTAGTCACTCTCTCTATTCCTGTACTTCATTACGTTTCAGGTGTACGTATAACGTTTCCAAAAAATTTAATGGTTCACGTCTTCAGATAGAGAGCGTATTGCACCCACTGTCTAGTCTCTGTAGTGCATTGAGACTTTGTTGATCGAACATGAAATGGATACACAGACAAAGCCAGGCCAAGTATATGGCGAGATGTCGCCAGAAGAACGTCTTCAGGTAGAGAGCGTATTGCACCCACTGTCTAGTCGATTTTGTGGATCGCACATGAAATGGATACACAGACAAAGCAGGCCAAGTACATGAGAGAGTGGACGATGTGCAGATCGACACGGCCTGCGGGTACTTCATTAAAGTTACCCGTGACATAACTAGGATAAAAGTTAAAGGGGAAGTTAAGGCAAAAATTAAAATTTCCCCAGTTGTAGTCTTCGGGGTGCTGAGTCGCATGGTCGTGGTCCGAGGAAGCTGAGACGCTCCCTTCCTACTTGAATCCCAATCGAACTCGCGCACTTCCACCGAAACTGGGTGACTGCGCCCTACTAGATGGGGATTTGTATGCAAAATGTCACTAAAAGCGCCATTTCGTTCTTATAAAAGCATGGATGACCGCGATTGGCCCATATGTTGTAGTCTTTTGGACGCTGAGTCGATTGGTTTTGGTCCGAAAAGGCTGCGATGCAGCGTTCCTCCTTTATTCCCAATCGAACATGGTTGAACAAGCGGTCACGTGCTCCTGCGTACGCCAGTCACCTGGTCACCGTGCCTGCAGGGTACAACTTACTAGCCTGTTTGACCTTTTTTGGGTGCAATCCTGTCACTCGAGTTGAACTCGAGTTGAACCTTGGTGTGAAAGTTGTCGCCTACTGGCGTGGTGACCAGGTGATTTGGGCACCCAGGAGCACGTGACCGCTTGTTCAACCATGTTCGATTGGGAATAAAGGAGGAACGCTGCAGCGCAGCCTTTTCGGACCAAAACCAGTCGACTCAGCGTCCAAAAGACTACAACATATGGGCCAATCGCGGTCATCCGTGCTTTTATAAGAACGAAATGGCGCTTTTAGTGACATTTTGCATACAAATCCCCATCCAGTAGGGCGCAGTCACCCAGTTTCGGTGGAAGTGCGCGAGTTCGATTGGGATTCAAGTAGGAAGGGAGCGTCTCAGCTTCCTCGGACCAAGACCATTCGACACAGCACCCCGAAGACTACAACTGGTGAAATTTAAATTTTTGCCTTAACTTCCCCTTTAATCACTGCAAAAACATTGCCAAGTATGTGAGCACTTTGGACTTGACAGAAGAGTGCATGGGCGACGTTGACAAAACATACTGCCGTGACTGTCACTATCATGACAGCAGGGCACATCCCACGCAGCATCGCAGATCGTGTCGAATTGCGCATCATAATATTGCAAAATTGCTCCTGTGCATGCAAGTGGATTTCATTGCACTTCTCAGTTTGGGAAATGCTCGATTATGACAATTCTCCGTGTGAGTGCACTAGCCCTGAACAGACATGTAGGTGAACCGTTTGTGGTGCCTCATAGCCTACCTCACGACCTTCTGCTTTCTTTCTTCATCACTTGTATCTTGCAGGTATATCATCCCGTGACGACCACATTGAAGTCTGAATTTGAAGTGTGAAGATGCTTCAGCAACCACATCGTACTTTTCCATTGCTTTCATTGTGCTTCTACTGTGCATGTGTGTAACTTGTGGGGTAAACATGTGATGACATTGTATGCTGGCGACACGGTCAGATGTTCATGCATCTAACGTACACCTGCATGTTATGCATTGAAAAGGGTTTGCCACTTGCGATCCTGGGACGAGTATCAGGTCCGCTTTGTCCTGTGTGGGCTGTATCAGATTGCTGTTCACTTCTCTATCTGTTGGATATGTGACTTTCTGCAAGTTTCTGGTGTATGGTGGCCACGTCCTTGCTTGTCACTTTGTATGATATTACATTCTGTATTCGCTGCTTCCATGGCATGGTCTGCAAACAATCCTTGGGCAAATATCATGTTTGCTATGTTGTGCTTTGGCCGTCAGCTTGTCTACACGCTGTAGTTGAATTATTTTTGTTTCACAACTGACTTCCTCAAGTACGGTGGCCACTGCTTTGCATGGCATTATACATGAAGAATTTCCTGTTTGTGTCGTGTGCATGTGCGTATGTGTGCGTGGCCACGTGTGTGTGCCGTGTGCATACACATGTTTGTGTATCTGTGTGCGGGGTAGCGAGGCGGGGAGGGCTGGTATGTATCAGTGTGTTATTGCAGTGGCATGGCTACATACAGTACATCGCGCGCGTGGTCATCATGTTTACCTTCGGGGTTGGGGTGGGGAGGGAACGGAAAAAGAGCTGAAATTATCCATATAAAAATCGCTCTGTGAGCGGTTCTGAAAAACCTTTACTGGTACTGCCCCGTCGTAAAAGTAAGAAATTAGAACTGGCCCATTGTCCCCCCAAATGCGAACTGATCCACCTAAATCGCGAATGACGGGACCCGAACGCACCAGTAGCACGAGGTTCCTACCTGTGGATGCAGATGGGGACGTTGGTCCGGACCATAGGCCATGTACTGTACTAGCGGTAGGCTTCCCTATCAAAATAATAAATTCTACTACTACTACTGGTGTTACCCTATGATAATTGCCGTGATCCTGTGCCCTCCCGACCTCGTGCTACTGGTGCGTTCGGGTCCCGTCATTCGCGATTTAGGTGGATCAGTTCGCATTTGGGGGGACAATGGGCCAGTTCTAATTTCTTACTTTTACGACGGGGCAGTACCAGTAAAGGTTTTTCAGAACCGCTCACAGAGCGATTTTTATATGGATTGTACTCTTATGAAGTTATGTACTCTTGGTCTTATGACTTGTCCGGCGCATGCGGTAGACTCTACGAAGCTGCAGCAACAGCCACACAGCAGTACAGGAGTCCTGATCTTTGAATCGACGCATGCTAGGCCATAGCATGAGAGATATAGGGGCATGCATGTCTGCTCTGCTTGATCATGCACATGTTCGTGCACAAATGCAAGATCAAGACAGCTACAGGAAGTCGTGAAAGCCGACCGATCTGCAGATCTGATCTGCTTTCTGGTCGACAAGCACCGACATCCTTGCATCTTTGCGTTCACCTCTACAAAGTAGCTCTTCACGTTGCGGAAATGCTATGCACTGTACGGTATTCGGAAGACCACCGACGCGTTCTACGCCTTTGCCGACCTTTCCACGTACAACTGTCAGCTAGCTATCTGTCTTTCCGATTCCCCGATCTTGGCTCTGCACACATTTGTCTCGTGTGCAAGTGTCCACGTACGTCGGGCTGAGTCTTTTTGTTGCCTTTTTGTTCTTGATCTCTATGGCAGTGGGTTTTCCGTAAATGTGTAGCTACACATTTTCTGGTGGTTGTTGTTGTTGCTCCGATAGACAAGAAGCCAACAGTTTTACTTTCACGAATAGGAGAACGATAGGAATATTTTCTGAAGATAGGAAGATCTCCGAGACTTTTGTGGTTTGCATACTCGCGCAATGATGCGTCTGACTACCTGGAGATTCTAAAATTCTGAAAGGATGCACGGTTTGTTCTCAAGATGGAGGAGGAGGAATTGAAGTGCTCTCGCATGGTCAAGAGGTCGCAAGGCAAAAAGAAGATTGGCGTGGTCAACTACAAGGAGCGCATCTTCGTCCTGACGCCGCGAGACTTCACCTATTACGAGGGTTCTCTTATCGTAAGTGAAAGCGTGTTACCTAGCTTGTCTTCAACAGCCAGTGTAGCCTGTAGGTACTAAGTGTGTATAGCCACATGCCAAGAGTACATAGCCCGCTGATTGCCTCAACAACACGATGAGTTAATTGCAAGAACTGGACGGGCATCATACACTTTCCACGTCGTGAGAATTTCCGAAATTTCAATCCAATTCCAAATCAAGCTTTTGAAGTTTGGAATTTCTCACGCACCATTATCCCATAATTTTGAGTATTGTGCTTGCCCTAGGTTGTTTGGTAGCAGCTACAAAGTCTTGAGCACGTTGTAGAGGGCAGGGAGGACAATGCAGATTACAGACTCGCTCTTGGCGAGGCTTCTTGTGTTAAGTCCTCATTCCTTTACATCCTTGCGCCAGTCGTTTGAGCATGAGACTATCAATCGCAGGGCCGTGGGTTCGAGCCTCACATCGGGTGCCAATGTTGAAACTTAGAGACAGCCATACCGGTGATTCCATACACACAAGCGAGCCACGGAAGAGGTAGGTAAAGGACGGCCTTTGCTGGGGGAGACGACGAGGGGAGACAGAGAAACGAAAGCCTACATGGTGGCCGGCAAGAGAGAGAGAGAGAGAGAGAGAGAGAGAGAGAGAGAGAGAGAGAGAGAGAGAGAGAGAGAGAGAGAGAGAGAGAGAGAGAGACAGGCAGACAAACAGACAGACAGGGCAAGAGAGAGAGAGACAGACAGACACAGACACACAGAAACAGAGAGTGCTAGATAAAGGGCTTGGGTATCTATTGCAAATATGGGCACGCAAGTAGCTACCCAGGTCAACGGAACAAAAGGTGTCAAACGGGGTGCAGGCCAGCTGGTGCAAGGATGTACGAGAATGAGGACCTGACACTTGTAATAGAGCTTGGGGGGTTGGATGTGCCAGTGTACCTTCAAAACGGGCTTCCACACCTACAGTCCCGTGGGCGAATCCAGTGATCTCTACAGAGGGGGGGGGGGGGGGGGTCCAGTTTAGCCAAAACTGAATAGCTAATACATGTACCTGTACATGCATCTGGTTTCCAATAGTGCATTTGCGAAATTTAGGGGTTTCCGCGCACCAAGCAGTGTAGCATGCATTTAGACTTGCTTGTCATTTAAAGTAACAAATAGTGCTAGAATGAGGGATGCGCTGGTGAGAACAGATATCCTGTCATTGATGTCCTTGATGTCACATATCGTAGTGACGCGCATTTAAGCACATGTGCCTATACCCGGGCATAAGCGCACCCTCACAAATAGGCGCATAGGCTTATAGGTGAACCTACATGCACTCCATCCCGCGACACACAGACACCACAAAAACACCATGTTCACATAGTTCAATGTGCATTGCGGTACATGTATTTCACTATGTGCATTATTATACAAAGTACCGGTACACGTGCAACTCAAGCGCATGCGCCTATGTGTGAGACAAAACGACCCGCAAAAAATAGCAAAAAACCGCAAAACTCACTCATAAGCGCATGTGGCCTTTATGTGCGTCACTACGGTACTAGTAACATGAGCAATTCCAAAGTACATTTAATTACCGTAAAGTACTGCCAGAGCGCCCCGTCTCGCGAGAGCGCCCCACCTTGATTTTACAGCCAGGGAAAGGAAAATCGTATGGCAGAGTGTAATGAAGTTTGTACGGCGTGAGAACCTTAGTACTAAGGTTACACTTAGCCGTTTTTTTATGGAGCTCGTGTCCGCTCGAAGGTACGGATTGACTGCTCAACGTGCAAAAATGTGTACACGGTTCATGTAGTATGACCTCCACACAGGAGACCACCTCCACACAGGAGACCACCTCCACACAGGAGACCACCTACACACAGGAGACCACCTACACACAGGAGACCACCTACACACAGGAGACCACCTACACACAGGAGACCACCTACACACAGGAGACCACCTACACACAGGAGACCACCTACACACAGGAGACCACCTACACACAGGAGACCACCTCCACACAGGAGACCACCTCCACACAGGAGACCACCTACACACAGGAGACCACCTACACACAGGAGACCACCTACACACAGGAGACCACCTACACACAGGAGACCACCTACACACAGGAGACCACCTACACACAGGAGACCACCTACACACAGGAGACCACCTACACACAGGAGACCACCTACACACAGGAGACCACCTACACACAGGAGACCACCTACACACAGGAGACCACCTACACACAGGAGACCACCTACACACAGGAGACCACCTACACACAGGAGACCACCTCCACACAGGAGACCACCTACACACAGGAGACCACCTATACACAGGAGACCACCTACACACAGGAGACCACCTACACACAGGAGACCACCTACACACAGGAGACCACCTACACACAGGAGACCACCTACACGCAGGAGACCACCTACACGCAGGAGACCACCTCCACACAGGAGACCACCTCCACACAGGAGACTACCTCCACACAGGGGACCACCTACACACAGGAGACCACCTACACACAGGAGACCACCTACACACAGGAGACCACCTACACACAGGAGACCACCTCCACACGGGAGACCACCTACACACAGGAGACCACCTACACACAGGAGACCACCTACACACAGGAGACCACCTACACACAGGAGACCACCTACACACAGGAGACCACCTACACACAGGAGACCACCTACACACAGGAGACCACCTACACACAGGAGACCACCTACACACAGGAGACCACCTCCACAATACGACCATGTAAGGACGAGGTGGTGGGGCGCTCTCGCGGTACTTTACGGTATTATACTTGTCGCTTCTATCCAACCGAATGGTTTGTGGCCTGTGCAGTGCGCCAATGCAGACATTGTTTGCTATGCTAGACCTGCGCAGTGGCTTGAATTGACAGAGAGACAAAGGGGAACCCAGACAGGCAGAGACAGACAAAGAGACACAGGGAGGTGTTCTGGTCGAAAACAAGTACGGTACTTTCTGCGGTGCTTGTAAGCACGCGTCCGAACTAAGATATGAACTAATTCGATCGCTCAACTTCTGGTGGCACTGGGCAGTTTTTTATATATATTTTTTTATACAATTCACCAGTTGACACAATGACATCGATATTATGAATTGAGGCCGGGGTCACTTTTCACTAGGGGTGAAAGTTGGCACTGAGATCCCGAGTTCGAGTACTCTGATTTTCTCCGATCGAATATTCGAGTATTCGAGTATTCTTGATATCCTAAAAATCGCACACCAACCGCCTTAAAAATCACATGATACAACCCTGATTGAATCGATTGGCAGTTCTTTTCTCGGGTGTATTGGTTGGTGGGTCATTTGGGCTCTCTCTACTCGTGTACAAATGTTCATCACACAGTCTGCACATCAATATCTGCTGATTGCTGCTCTGAAACTGCAGACTTCTGTGGTAAATGCATGTACCACGTATGAGCGAGTACTCTGATTTATTCCGAGTACCATTATATTTGAAAAATCCAAACGAGTTTTCGAATATTCGGTATAATTGTTTCACCCCTACTTTTCACACAAGTCTGGAAGGACATGCAGATCGTACCAGCAGACATAAAAGTGCATGAAAACTGGCCTTTGCACCCCTAAAAAGGCCATATGCATTTTCTGCGCCGCAGTGCATCCATACTACACGTATATAATAATAATAATAATAATAATTTGAAACTCGGATGTTGAGCCATAAATAAATGTAAAATAGAAAAGGACATATGGATACGAGTTTAGAGTAACTCTCCATCACTGTAACATGATACTATATACAGTCAGAAAGTGCAATAACTAGGCACAAAACTGACAGAGTACTGAGACATTCGACGTCCTGACACCTAACTTTAACACATCTCCGTAGCGCTAACCGACAGCCTTCCAACTTGGAAGGTTCAAGGTTATGGAAAAGACCAAAGAGGGGAAGGCAAGCGCAACGAAAATGAGCAAAAGCTACAGTCCCAACGGAACAAAGAATGTCGATTGTTACTGGACGATGACGAGACCAGTACGATATTTGACAAAGCGGTCTAACTACAATTCGAAGCAGCAAAGCAGCACACCACCCAACTTGGGTGGGTCATAAATATCAAAGATAAGTAAAGAAAGGGAAGCTTTGCGAAAACGAATTGTACAAGCCGAAAGCCAAACTCGTTGCGCTTGCCTTCCCCTCTTTGGTCTTTTCCATAACCTTGAACCTTCCAAGTTGGAAGGCTGTCGGTTAGCGCTACGGAGATGTGTTAAAGTTAGGTGTCAGGACGTCGAATGTCTCAGTACTCTGTCAGTTTTGTGCCTAGTTATTGCACTTTCTGACTGTATATAGTATCATGTTACAGTGGTGGAGAGTTACTCTAAACTCGTATCCATATGTCCTTTTCTATTTTACAATAATAATAATAATAATAATGACAGTTCACATATCACTCATTGCATGAGGTCAACGCATCTGTTAACAATTTCGAGCCAAGCATGTGTGTGTATATGCACGTGCTTATATGCGAGTCAGAATCGCCTCTTGATTCTGCCAAACAACAGCCACTTCGCATATACATGTAAGCACATGCAATTCTGTGCAGGGAAGTACGGTAGCAGGCATGAGAGATTGTTGCCTCGGCATTCCAAGTTGTTGAATGGGACAACCCCTGTTTCTATGTTCACCAAGTCTCGCACCATCCGGAGCCTGATCCAGAATCTTGCAGAGTTCCCCCAGTGTCCACTATGCAGCATGCTTGCTATCCGTGGGATGTGTGGGTACTGTGCAAATGCTGAGCATGCATACTACACGTAGGGTAACGTATTTGAGGGTTGCACCCCCTCCCCCCCCCCCCCTTACATCAGCCCCTGCGATATCCTTGGCTTGGGTAGTGGGCTTGTCTGAGATATGTATGAACATATGCATGTGCTTTCTTCTTCTTCTTGTAAACAGAAACGAGGAAAGGCGAAAGGCACCATTCAGCTGAAAGACATCAAGGCTGTGGAGAAAGTTGATCAAGAAGCATTCAACAAGAAATTCTCATTCCAGGTTTGTTCATTCACAATGTGTTTATATCGGTGGTGGCAACGGTGGTGGTGGTGGTGGTGGTGGCGGTGATGGTACTTCATGATTGTAAAAGACAGAAGGATGAATCCTCTGGATCCTTGCAGGGAGTCTGAAAGGAAATAGAAATTAGTCCAGAGTGACTACAAATTCAGGTGGAAGATGGAGGTTGCTGTAGTTGAGTCGTGCGGTTTGAGGGGAAGTGTGTGTGTGTGTGTGCGTGTGCGTGTGTGTGTGTCCCATATGGTGCAGTGGTATGTGCAGCGATTTCCAATCGATAGGTTGCGGGTTCGATTCCCGACGATTATGGTCACACACGTCTTTCTTCTCTTTCTCAGACTCTTCCTGACTTTTCTTTCATTCTCCTAGGTGGTTACCAACAGCCAGTGCATGCCGGAGTATGTGGTGTGATGTGTGTGTGTAGAAAAAAATAAAAAGACCAAAAAGTAGGGATTCACTGGCCAGAAAAAGCCACTTCATAGCTGTGTGGTGTAGACCAGGCTGAATAGTGGCGGTCAATTCTTCAGCCTTGCAAGCCATTGAATGGTGCAATCCCAGCACAAGTTACAGTAGGTGGTGGAGAAGCCAGTTGTGTAAAACTTGTATTCACCACTGAGTCACGCTAAACTTTCTTCAAAATTGTATTCTGAAGTACAATGGGACCATGAACTTAGAGATGTCATTGCTGCTTCTGCTGATGTTGTTGCTGCTGTTTACATGGCGTGGACAGGTTATCTATGAGGAGTTCGTACTCTACATCATTGCATCCACAAGCTCGGAGTTAGATGAGTGGCTTGCAATTCTACGCAAAGGTAGGTCTTTGCTGTCCTGAGGTACTAAGTGGACACGAGCTGCACAATCTATCCCTTTTGCACGTACGTCTTTCTCAACTAGACACAGCCAATTCAGCATCAGATAGCTCAGCCGCGCAGCAGGAGAAAGACATGACACTGACACGTCTTTCAACAATTCTAATTCTTTTTCGGAATGATTTGAGAATCAGGGAGAACACAGTTGCTACAGGATAAGGCAGTGCATGAAAGTGATATGTTGATACTTTCAGGAGCAAAACTGCTCCACTTTGAAGTAGTTGCTGGGCGTTTGTCGGAATGTCATCAGGCGTGCGAGCAAGCTATTGCCAAGTTCGAGCTTTTACAGTTGTCCACATGTGCACACTAGGAAGCAGACAGTGTATTTGTGCTGGGGGAGAAGACATGCTATTTGACCTAGGAACTCGACGACTCCCCGTGCAGGCCTCTCATATGTGGGCTGCAAATGGCGATTTTACTTTGGTATGCTCTCTCCCACCTCTCTCTCTCTCTCCCTCTCTCTCTCCCTCTCTCTCTTTCTTTCTCTCTCTCTCTCTCTCTCTCTCTCACACACACTGCGCGCACAGCAACTGCCAATAACGCTGGCCTGCTGAGCTTCTTCCATCCTGGAATCTTTGCCAGCAACAAGTGGACATGCTGCCACCACGGTAGCCGCCACTCACTAGGCTGCAAGGCCACGTTCGCCAGTCGCCAGAAATCAACGACGTCGACGACAATGACACCAACGACATCGATGACGGCGACACCTACCATCAACACCAACACCAACAGCGTGACAAAGGTAGCACCAGCAACTTCTTGCTTGCTACCGCCCGAGGAAAAGCTGATTCGCAGCGGAACATACGTGGTGAGTACTATACTGTATGTTGCTGACATAGCAATTGTGTTGGCTTGTAAAACAGTGATGTCCTCTCCTGCTACATCCATGAGTATGTGTACAGTCAGTGATATGAGCAATAAGCAATATGTATTGGTGCTACTGTAGGCCATGCATGTGTCTGTGTGTTGTCTATGTCTAGAGAGAGAGAGAGAGAGAAAGAGAGGGAGAGAGAGAGAGAGAGAGGGGGGGGGGTATTGCTGTGTATTAAAAAATGTACGTGTGTCCTGTCACCTCCAGGGTCATAAAAACCTTGTTGATGGAATCAAGCCGTTCGATGTCATCGCTATTTACAACTATTCAACTCCTCAGCCCGGCGACTTAGCCTTGGCCAAGGTAAGCATGAACCGTGGCTCGCTCATGTCCACTAAGTTGACATCAGTGGTATCCAAGAGTGACGGAGTGTGCATGCGGAAATGGTTATGTGATGTGTGTACCTACGTAGTAACTACAGTCTGTGTAGTGGGTCTACTACTAGTGGCTGCAGTGCACTAGCGGAGTCTGCCAAAGTGAAGGAAAGTGTGTATGGCTGATAGATATGAAACGCTTTGTGCAAGGGATGTTCAAAACTTCTTTCACTCGGACGAAACAACTCATGTTAGGTCATTGCTTATCACTGTCAATCTGTGATGCATTCTCACTTGATTTGTTAGATGAAAAGCGGACATGAAGGTATCTGTTGTACACTGTTCGCACAGTACGTTTCTTGCGAGGAACGCTTCGTGATCACTCAGTCCAATTGCCAGACTGAGCATGCACGCGAATAGGCTCTTCTTTAAAGTACCAAGGTGGTCTGTACATGGAAAGAGCAGTGCTGGCTGTACATGGAAAGAGCAGTGCTGGCTGTACATGGAAAGAGCAGTGCTGGCTGTACATGGAAAGAGCAGTGCTGGCTGTACATGGAAAGAGCAGTGCTGGCTGTACATGGAAAGAGCAGTGCTGGCTGTACATGGAAAGAGCAGTGCTGGCTGTACATGGAAAGAGCAGTGCTGGCTGTACATGGAAAGAGCAGTGCTGGCTGGTCAATGTAAAACAAACTTTTATTTGTGTGAATAGAGAGGTTTTGTAGAACGAAAATACGCAACAAAAGCATCCGTTCACGTGCCACTTCATGCGAACGTTTCGCACACAATTGACCTGTGTGTGTTTGCGTGTTTGTGTGCGTGTGTGTGTGTGTAAGAAAGACAGTTCCTTCACCATGCTGCTGTTCTCTTGCTTTGTTTTACACGGTTCAGGGCCAGCGGTTCACTGTCTTTGACGACCGCCGTGAGCACTGGTGGCATGCCGAGAACTCGAGCGCAGTCGTCGGATTCATTCCCAGCAACTACGTGCGACGCATTGGCATCACCAGCGAGCCCTGGTTTTACTCGGACCTGTCGCGCCAGCGTGCCGAGAACATCCTGCGGGACGACGGCAAGGAGGGGTGCTTTCTGATCCGCAACTCAAGCAAGGGCGGCATGTACACTCTATCTCTGCTCCACGGCGACGCGGTGCGGCACTATCACATTCGTCAAGACGACAGCAACTTCTACTTCATCTCTGACAACCATCACTTTGAGACGATTCCGGAGCTCGTCGAGTACCACTCGCTCAACGGCGGAGGCCTCGTGACACGGTTACGACGACCACCGCGCCAGGACAATCCCATGGAGCCGCCCACGCGGGACAAGTGGGAAATCAACCCGGGCGATTTAACGTTTGGACGCGAGCTGGGCAGTGGGCAGTTTGGTCGTGTCGTAGAAGGCAAATATAAGGGAAAGACGGACGTGGCGATCAAAATGATGAGAGAGGGTACGATGGATGAGGATGACTTCATTGAGGAAGCTAAGGTTATGAAGTAAGTATCTAGCTATAGAGGATCATCACACACATGACACACATGAGAGGCGAAAGACAACTCGGGTGGTCTTTCGCCTTCCATGTGTGAAATGCTCTGCGCTCAGCGTATCAAGCACTATTTCAGCAGCTGTTGCTACTTCTGTGAGGGTCACGTATGTGTCTATGTCTGCCCGTGTGTAAGTGTGGGTGTGTATGTGTGTGTGCGTGGGGGGGTTCAGTGCATCCAGAACATACCGGTATACGGAGCACCTGCACATTGCAGGGGTGTAGAAACAGGTACGGCAGGTCCGGCAGCTGCCTGACCTATGTTTTGCAAAAAAAAGTCTGTGCCTGGACATCTAGTGGAGTCGAGTCTTGTTGACAAAACACCATAAGTGCAGTGTGTCACTGAGAAATAGTTATGTTTGACGACTAATTGAAGCTGCTGTAAACGATGAAGTCCGTTGATCAGAAACTATATACATGTACCGAGTTTCACGACATGGTTTTTTGTTATGTACTCTCTCTCTCTCTCTCTCTCTCTCTCTCTCTCTCTCTCTCTCTCTCTCTCTCTCTCTCTCTCTCTCTCTCTCTCTCTCTCTCTCTCTCTCTCTTGCACTTATGGCCGCTGAAGCTGCCATTTTTTAGCCTCCAGCATCGTAGTACATGTACTTTGTATCTCAATCCCTCGGCACTGCCGTCTTTTCTGTTCTGTCTTTTCCCACCTCTACCATTGTAGGAACTTCCAGCATCCCAATTTAGTGCAGCTATACGGTGTGGTGACAGTGCAGAAGCCTATTCTGATCATCACGGAACTCATGGAAAATGGTATGCTCTGTCAGTTGATGTCTGGTGTACTCATCCAGTGGGGGATGGGGGCAGCCAGATGTGCATGAAAAAGCCTGAGTTTGCTGGGTTATACATGGCCTCGCTCCAGCTCACTGCCACTCGAGGTGCAATAAGTGCGGATTGACTGTACAACAAGCATTGTCTGGTGATGTTTGTACCTAGAGACACAATATAATGTGTTATGACACCCAAGCAGCACTCACTCATCCACCCCTCTTTTAAACACAGCCACGAACGTGTGCAGGTAGTGGTGCACTCTCGTGGTACTTCATGGTATTTGTAAGTGGCTATTAGAGGTCAGCGTACACATCTGCACCTCTATGCTTTCTCCAATGTATTCCCAGCTTGTGCGGATGCCAAACCGGTGATGGTTCTGCTGCTGTTGCTTGTGTTGTCTTTTAGGCTGCTTGCTGGACTTCTTGCGTAAGAACAAGCAAATTCTGGAGCGGCCCGGCATTCTGATTGATATGTGCATTCAAGTGGCCAGCGCTATGCAGTTCCTCGAAGACCACCGCTTTATTCACCGGGACCTGGTGAGTAGTGCAGGAACATAGCTGGTCCCCCTATTTAAGGGGAGGGGGGGGGAGGGGTGCACGGACGCATATGTAGGATGGCTGGTGCATGTCATCCATGGTCAATATGTGCATGCTGAGCCAAGGTCGCAATTTTAGGGGGATGCACGTGCCCCATGCAGGCTATGCGCCTGGTAGTAGTAGCCATCTTGACGTGCCTGCTTACCTTGCTCATCCGGCCTGTGTTACGAGTCCTGGAGCGCTCTATCCCGATGGGCCGTTAGTCAGCGACTCCAGAGGTACACAAAGAAAAGTAGGGCTTCCTTGTTGTTACTCAGAGTTTTTAAAAGAACCGGTCGTCAGACAGCAATGAAAGAGATTGGGAGCAGCACACTGCCTCTGTGTAGTCAGTGACTCGTTACGCAACTCACTTTGCACACATGACAGACACAAATTCACTACAAAGAGCGAGTTGCTACTCGGAGTTCTATGCCTGTGGCTATTGTCAGGTAACTGTGTCGAAAGGCTCTGCGCCTAGCGTGTTGAGTACAGGGGGTGCTATCAGAATCCCAATCGCAAGGTCATGCACGAAGCATTGCAGGGAATACATGCATGAGTGGGTGTGTGTGGGAGTGCATGTATGTGGGTGTGTATGGGAGTGCATGTATGTGGGTGTGTATGGGAGTGCATGTACTAGTATGTGTGTGTGTGTATCATAGTATGCGTACGGCAACAATGACCATGTACAGGTGAAATCCTGATAATTCAAACCTCAAAATGCCAGGAAAAAACTTCTAATTATCCGGACATTCTAATTATCCAAACATGAACCCACAACTCAATATGTATGTCAAAATGCTCTTATGGTCACGCAGAGTTGCGCTATGGACCTTAGACACAAATTGTACGGACACTGAACTGACCAGCACAGCCTGCTCATGCAAACTGAAATGACCAGTACAGTGTACAGTGAACTTCGAATTACACTTTGCTAACTTCGAATTATCAGCACAAATCCCACACATTTTCTATGTAAGTGGAATCTGTGGGACTTCTAATTAACCGGACATGTCCAGTTCGAGGTTCGAATTATCAGAAATGTTTATGTGGGAATCGTGTTGATAGAAATCGGTCCAGGAAAAACTTCTAATTAAGCAGTATGTTCGAATTAAGCCATATTCGAATTATCAGGATTCCACCTGTACAACAGATATTCGTTACATTTTCTACTCGTCATGGTTATAATTACAGTCATGTACATGCTTTGCAGTAGTAGTATTCCAGGAGGTACTGCTGCTTTTTCAAACTTAGGCATACTGGATACAAGCACTGTAGTATGATGAATAGTTCCTGTACAATTTCAACAGTAAAAGTCAGAAGCCTTTGCGACCTTGAGAGCTACTTTGCCGATTGGCAATTTCTTCGGGTCCTGATCATGAGTAATACTAATGGGCTGTTTGTCACTTCATCATTATGGCAAATTCGATTACATCATCAATCGTAGCAAATGGCGCATTCATATCCTCTTTTTTTATTACCATCCTATTGTAAATGTTAGCTGTTGTCAATATCCTTGTCACTGTGAAGTAATTCTCATTCGCCATTCTCTCTTTGTGTGTTCAGGCGGCAAGAAATTGCCTCGTGAAGGACCGCATGCAGGTGAAAGTTGGTGACTTTGGTCTTGCAAGGTATGCTGCACATTGGCATAAGTCACACCATGAACAAACTGCTAACCTAGATTAATACACGTGTGAAAAACCAAGCAACGAGCGAGATCATGATTGCATCTCATTCAGTCGGGAACAGTGCTTTTCTGCAGTGATCCGTTTTGTTTTCCGAAGTGAATAATTTTTGTTGTGAAAACAAACCAAGCTGATGTCCAGCATGAAACCCACGACTCCATTACAGTACGATCTAGGAGGTACTTGGTAGTGGGCTCCTGTCTGAACATGCAGTATGTCAGACCACCATAGGCTTGTCATCACAGGTTACTTTGTTCCCCAGCACAGTACAGTCAGACCTCGCTTATCCGGTCCTCTTTTACCCGGATCCCTCACCATCCGGAAGAAAATCGTTGGTTACCGATTTACAGCATATGGCATGCATACATGCAGTATGTGTGTTCGATTATCCGGTTCCCTCGCCTATCCGGATATTTTTTTGTGGAAAACAGATGTGTGCGGCTAAGCGAGGTCTGACTGTAATGTTCTGCATGCACATAAGTTGAGACCCTTCGTTTCTCTTATAAAGGTGGTGTGATTGCATCTTTGTTTGATGTGTTTTTGGTGAGTGGCACCACAAGCGCTGACTTGCCACTCGGTACACAGCAGTGAGTGTATTTCACTACTCCCTGGTACAAAGCGCACGGTATGCTGCCAGTTGCATAACCTCTCCGTCCAAGCAGGCAGTTGGTCTGTGCAGCTAGTGCAAGCCAAACGCTGCTCAAGTGCGTGTTCCGAGTCCCGTGTGAGATCTATTCGTGGCGTCTCTGGTGTTTGTAGGTGCCATGCCAGTGAGTGGCTTGGGTATCACGTTTCCGGGGCAGGAATAGCATCGTGCTTGCCACAACTGTGTGCGTGTGTGTGTATTTGATGTTCTGTTTCCTTTGTTCAGGCATGTAATGGATGATGAGTACACCGCGTCTGAAGGCACTAAGTTCCCGATCAAGTGGGCCTCGCCAGAGGTGATATCCTATGCCAAGTTCAGTAGTAAATCTGACGTATGGGCATTTGGTAAGGCGATGGGTGGCGTGTGCTCGTGTGTGTGTGTGCGCATGTGTACGTTTTGCATGATGGATACCGGCTTAGTGCTTGTGTGCGTGTGTGTGTGTGTGTGTTTAGCTACCCACACTAGTGGCAAGTATTACCTTCACTGGGGTGCAGGGGTAACTGCAGTTGGATCCCAGGACGGATACCCTGACGCCGCCAATCCTTTTTCTGCACCTTGTCCTCACCCACTTACTGAGGTGTGGTGAGCCCATAAGTGAGACCATTTTCAAGTCCACCCAGAGTTTGGGGGATTTCATGGGGTGTCGGCCGTTGGGTGGCTCAATAGCAAATTGAGTCATCTTTCCAAGATTCCTTTTGAGTCTCTCTCCCCTCTCCCAGGGAGAGCCACGTGACCAGTTTTGGCAGTGAGCAACAAGTAAAAGTGTGTGTGTGTGTGCGTGCGTGTGCATGCTTGTACCGTAAAGTACCGTTGATCCCCTCCCAGCTGGTTTTCGGCAACGGGCGGGAATTAGATCAAGTCGTTCAAGTGCAGTATGATGTACACCAAAGCAGAAGATCAGACCTGGCGTGCTGGATTGTGCACATTTTCATCCTGCACTCGCTCGTATTGTGTACAGCAGTACATGCGTCGGTTCATCATCGTATTTCATTGTATACGCCCTTGCTTCACAGGTAGAAATTCGACAGGGGGCTGAAAATAATGAGGGGGCAGATCAACGGTACTTTATGGTGTGTGCATGTACAATTTTTCAATTGCTGACCATGTGCTAGGTAGGATGTAAGCCTGGTTGATACAGAAAGCTGTCCAGTTCGCACTAATCATGACCTTTTTGCTTTGTGTGTATGCATGACCAATGTATGTGGTGGTGGTGGTGGTGGTGGTGGTGTGTGTGTGTGTGTGTGTGTGTTTGCTATGTCTAACATAGCTGTTCGCTATCATCGCTTCCGCGATGGGTATGTCTGAGGTGTGTGTGTGTGTGTGTGTGTGTGTGTGTGTGTGTGTGTGTGTGTGTGTGTGTGCACGTACGTGTGCACGTACGCGTGTGTATTTGTTATGACAGGTGTACTCATATGGGAGCTATACACGGGTGGCATGACGCCCTACCCGTCCTTCTCCAACACGCAGGTTGTGGATGAAATACTGAAGGGCTACCGACTGGAACGTCCGCCAAACTGTCCGGGAGTTTTATTCGAGGTTGTGAAAAAGACCTGGCAGCAGGTTAGCTCTTTAGTCTGTGCTCGATTATCCAGTTGCCTTTCTTGTGCCTCAAAGTACTTTTCTCAACCTGTCACACCCTGGGCAGCTGCCTACTGAGCTTTGTAACTGTTGTGTCAAATTTAAAAATTCCACAGTGTACGAGTAAGGCTGCATGAGTTGTGTCAAGCCTTGCCGCCTAGATAGCCACTGAAAGTTCCTCGACAATCAGGGGTTTGGCACGTGCTGCAGAACATTTGCCATTGTGAACCTATAGGCTGGAGTTGTGTTTGTTTGGAACGTGACATTCCAGATTCCGCTAACTCTCTGATATGTAACCAAGCATGCTGGTGTCATGTGCGTATGTCCATGGCAAGGTGAAAAAAAGAAGAAGAGAAAACGATTATCCAGCATGCGTTAAGACCAGGAAGTCTGTTCACACGCTTGGCTTTGCAATTTCCTTGGCACGGTGACACCAGCTCATTTTTACATACCCGTGCCTCCCTGGTAGAATACGGGTGTGAACGCTTCGCATGCTCCTGCTGAGTTTTAAAATGCGGAAGAACTCGCTTCGTTCAAGCATGCTGTCCTTTAGTTCGGTGTGCTGAGTTTTACATGCTGCATGGTGTTTGTTTGTTGACTCTGAATGCCCTTCTTAAAAATATGAACACCTCTGTGCGCTTGTTTTATGTGTTGCAGGAGCCGGAGGATAGACCGACGTTTGCGGAAATCCACAGAATGTTAACCGAGTTTGGAGCGGACTACTCTGACCCAGCGTAACGTATGCCCCGGGCTCCCCCGTATGAGCGTAATTATTGTTGTTTCGCAGGGGTCGTTGCGGACCCCTTGCCGATCTGCACACGATCAAGATAGTGTGTGTGTGTGTGTGTGTGTGTGTGTGTGTGTGAGGAAGGTAGTGTGCGGAGCGATATAGAGTACTTGAACCTATCTCCTTTATCCCCCTACTCGCACACAACCATTGAAACAAGGGTGTGGGCATGCAATGAATGCTTGCACTTCCTCGGCTTTGTGCAGATGACACCAGGCTTCAACTCACCTGCATAACTGATGCCGTTGAACGTCTTTGGGATATTTCGACCGATTTTTCTTCTTCTTCTTCTTCTTCTTCTTCTTCTTCTTCTTTTCTTTTATCTTACCTGGGTTGATGTGTGCGGCCTGTGTGCGTGCACATCTTGTACTTTTCCATTGTTCCTATCTGGGTACTAGTATTTTCTTTACTTGAGTGTTCTCTCTCTCCTAATCCTGGCTTTTGTTTCCATGTTGTCCTTGTCAACGAGCTTGAGGTATCTTTTTCTTACATCAAAGTTATTTATTGCTGAACTCAGACGGGGAACTTGACATTCGGCATTCCCTCCAAATTTGTAGACAAACATGGGACTTGAATGTGGCTGTTTTTGCGTTATCTAGCCTCGGCTTCAGCTCCATAGCACCTTCATTGCATCGCCCGTTTTTACTAACCCAAATATCACTCATTTGATGCTCTGTTTCGCTTCCTGCTTTCTCACACCACTCGCGTACAGCACCTGCTTCTTTTCTTGTAAGTAGACTTTGGTTTAGCCACACCAACAGAGACTCGGTGTTCAGTCACCTGTCCTCTTTTCTGAGCCACCCATAGGCCTTTTTTCTCTCTCTCTCTCTGTTCGTTTTCAGAGAGCGCATGTGCAGAGAGCGTATTTTCATTGCTTTTTGCTGTGCTTGCCTGTCCGTCATGCCGTGTTTGCCATCATGATCATCATGATCATCATTATCATCATCATTAGCGATTTGATTTCCGTGTACTATAAGTGTATCTTGTCTGTCAAGTTTGTCACGTCCAATATTGCCACTGTTGTTTGCTGTTATGGGAGGATCTGAGAGAGGGACTCAGAGCCTGGGAGTGTTTGTCAGCTTATTCCCCAAGCCACGTTTCACAGTGAAGCGCAACACGGTCTCAACCAGGGATGTGTTCATGTAACTAATACTTCCTGGCCTTCGCTAGGATTAACCCCTCAAGTATGCTGCACATCATTCGGTATTGCTGTAACGTGACTCTTTCTCTTTCGTTCGGCCTACATTGTACACCAGGGACTGGGCCATGGGAGTCGTAAAATATTGTTTTTTTACGACTCCCTGATTTGTATTACATTCTGGCCTACATGTGGGGTATGTCACTATGTGTAGTGCACGTGGTGTCCAAAATCCTCATCACGCTGATACAAGTGCTTGATGCCGGTGCAGTGGTGGTGGGCAAAGCCAGCAATTCAATACAAACGCTTTGTTACTCATAGTTTTATCAAGAGTATTACATGTATAATGGTTTTATCAAGAGTATAATTGTCCGTGGATCTCGGTCGGCATACCATCGTCCAGCTAACGAGCTCAGGGAGCTGGCAGTGGTTGAAAGCCGGATCTAAAACCATTTGTGTTTTAGTGTGACTCTCGCCATTCCGGAGACATATTTTCCACACCTGTGTACTGTTTTTAATATTATCTTCCTATCATACCCTGGTTTCTCATCATTGTGTTGCTTTTGCCCGTACAAGAGGCTTTATCACACAGAAAAAAAAAAAATAATAACAGTCAGACCTCGCATAACCGCACACATCCGTTTTCGACAAAAATATCCGGATAGGCGAGGGAACCGGATAATCGAACACACATACTGTATGTATGCATGGCATATAGAAGACCATAGGTCTGTGGGAAACACCCTAGTAAAATAAAAGTTAATAATAATAATAATAATAATATGCTGTAAATCGGCAACCAACAATTTTCTTCCGGATGGCGAGGGATCCGGATAAAAGAGGACCGGATAAGCGAGGTCTGACTGTAATAATTATAGCCTCCCAGGCGCTAGGCTAGGCCAGGGGCTTATACTCAGTACGAGTACTCTTGGTTTCCTGTTTCAGACTGTCACCAAAAAGTACCTATTCGCCAGGTGTGTGTGGGGGAGGGGGGGCATTTTCACGGACCAAATAATTGCAAACCAGGGAGCCGGCCCTGCATGCACGTGGGGCTCCCTACCCCCCGGTCCCGGGGCGCCCCCGGACCGAGCAAGCAATATTAATTTTCCCGCCATTTGCACTTTGAGTTGAACATCGCGTGATGTGGTGCATGTCGTGCATGCACGAGATCGAGACTTTCCAGAGTAGATCTACGAGTCGAGAATCGATCATGCATGTGAATGAAGATAAAAATCTCTTTTGAAATTCATTTGTTTCGTATTGCTCTCGATCTCCCCATCACCGCTTTGCCGAGCCAGGTAGAAGCTGTGGGGTAATGCTCTGCTAGAAAAGGCGATTCGTTCTTAGACTAAGAGTCTATTAGAGCACCTGCACTCTAGCTCTTGGGAAGTACATTTCTTACAATCGTTTTCTCCGTACAATTATTTGTCGTAACACAATGGCCTCTAACGATGGTTTACTGGAGTTCTCTGACCTGTACATAGTCAGCAAAGGAGCTTTGGTGAGTACATTGCTACATAGAAGACATAATGGTACACCCTGACTTCCTGGTAGTGGCTGACTGTGCGGAATTGATGCCGAATCTCAGATGCTTCTCACAATTTTTCAATGAAATGTCTATTTTGAAATGGAGTGCTATTTCCGCTGTGCCTGTGGATGTTGCACATGCCTAGGATGGCCACTGTATGTACACAGTACAGTGTAGCAGCTTTTACGTTAGTGAGGTTACCTGTTCCGTATACATATATGGACACGTCTTTGACGTGAATGAGGATGAAACTGATTCAAGTGAACGATGCTTGAGAATGCTGTGAATTTGCAGCATACATGTACATTGTAGTAAAAGCAGTTCAGGACATGTACAACGATCCCGGATATAGCGAATACATGCTTTGCTGTTCGCATCGGAAAATAGTGTACAAGTCCTTTATTAGGACTGCGTATTGTAAAGCAGAGACAATGGAGAGGTTCCACATAATGTAATTAGTAGTTACGTTGGTAAAAAAACGTAGTCGGTCTACGGAAAGTCTTACGTAGACTGCATGCAGATCCGTGTTTCGCCAGAAGGAGTTTTCAAATCACATACCTACCCTTGGCAACACCAAACGCGACAGTGTACGACCCAGGGAGAGAGAGAGAGTCATCAATTTGTACCCCAAGCCGCTTATGGAGCCCTACTTACCTACTCTACCTAGACAACTTTCCGTCAGTGGAGTGCAAACTCGCGAATTCATGGCTTTTCCTGCCCACTCGCGTAAAGTTGCTCAACTTTACGTAGTGCAGAACCGCTCTTTTTTTGTAGTTTTGTTATTTTTCTTTGCTTTCTATTCCTTTGTCATTTTGTTGTGAGTCTGCACGCTTCAACTCAAACTCGCAAGGTTGATCATTTATCCCTTGCACTTTTAGGACATGTGCCCAGTCCTGAAGTTACTGCTAATTGGTTTTGTTTTATTGTTTTGCATTCACTTGCAGTAGTCTGTAGATTCATGTGGGTGTTCTGATCGCTGTTTGAAAGCGTTAGAATCGGTGTATATTCACACTCAGCAGCTGAACCTTGCAGGCAGAAGCAGAACATTACACCGCTGTACTTGGTTATACACTTATAGTCACACCTTGCTTTTTATTTTATTTTTTATTTAAGTCACACCTTGCTCCTCTTCTTCCTCTTCGTAACGTGTGAATCTATAGTACACTGCTTGTTTTCCCTTGGTGACGTGCTATGCTTCGCACCATTTTGCCGCCTCCCGCCTTGCTGCTGTGGTAGCTATATCTTCTGCTACCGTGAACTACTTCATTCTCTTTGCAGTATGTTCATTTCATAACTTTCATAGTTTTTTTCCAAGTCTACAAATGGAAGAATAAAAATCCTACGAAAGGGATCCGTTTGTGAGGACCTTTTGCAGGAACCCCCCCCCCCCCCCCCCCCCTAATATAAAGTGCACATGGATGAGAGTTTCATGGGTATAGTATCAGATTAAATATTTCTGGAAAACCAGTCTAAGGTGACCAAGGCCCCCTGGAATTTGAGTCGGCCTGTTAACGTCATTGTACCCCGTCTTTCCGTGTTTTATATCCAGAACCACGGCCGTCTTCGCATGCAGCCAGAGAAGATCACATTCAAGGCCAGCCGAAGTGGCAAGATTGAACAGTTCAGCCCAGATGGGCTTGAGTCAGTCAACTGGACGCGTGCGCCGAAGGGCTGGGAGCTGTCACTGGTCGCCAAGTCCGGCTCCTGCACTCGGCTACAGGGCTTCAAAGAGACCGTACGTGACTCGCTGTCCCATGTGTGTGTGTGCGTGCGTGCGTGTGTGTGTGTGTGTGTGTGCGTGCGTGTGTGTGCGTGTGTGTGTGTGTGTGCATTGCGTGCACACACGGCCAGTAGTAACTTCTCCGCTTTGTGGCATGACAGTTATGCCAACCCACTCTCATGTGTAAATTTTCGTACATTGATTGTGCCACGCAGGCAAATAGAAACACAGGAGTAGCGCATAAAGTCCGATCTTGCCAATAATATAGCAACTCCGGGGAATAAGTAACCCTAGCATTATAAGCACTGGCCTGTGCAATGAATGCAATTCTGGTTTATTCATGAGATCGGATTTCACTTGATTCCACCGTATGATAGACTATAGTAGACCGTGTCGGTGTCGGGGATTTGGGCTTTGGTCTTGTTTGCACACACTACGGGTTTCTGTTTCTTATTCTTGTTTTCTGGAGACTGACGTGATAGGCGTGCGTGTTTGTGTGTGTGCGTGTGTGTTTCTGTGTGTGTATCTGTGTTTGCATCTGTGCCCGTGTGTCTTCTGTGCATGCGGTGTTCTTTGTTTTTGTTTTTTTCATTCTGTATTTCTTTCCCAGGAAAGCCAGCGGTTACAAGGCAAGATTAGCAAATGGTACAAGCTGCCGTGGAGCGAAGTGGAGCGGTCTGTTCGCGGCCTTAGCTATGGGAAAACCGACTTTTGCGGTACGGCATCGTGCCAGCGTGGCTTAATCATGCTTTTTCTCGGTGTTGCTGTGTGTGTTTGCACTCTGCAGTCTCTTCACAGAATCTCGATATTTGATTGTTTCCTGCACTACAGGTGTATGGTGCTAAAATTGCTGATATTTGAACAATGCATATGATGACAGAACATAGAGCCATTGAGTGATGAGTAATCCCATCTTCTCTTACTCAGCATGGATGCGTTCCATTGCTTGTCCAGCTTGGCAGCTCGGTTGTTCCGTAGGGTTGTGCGTGTACTGCGTTGTGGGAGGCATGGGCAATGCCACAGGGTCACATACCAGACTATAGTGCGCCATCATAGTACTACTGTATGTTAGGTGATGATAGGTGTGTAGGTCAGTTTTCCATAGTGACGTACGTGCATGATGTCATTGCCTGTTTGCTTGGGGCCCTGCTTGCATGTACCTGCAGGCTCATCGTTGAAGTTTGTCATCGACGACAAGCCATCGTTTGAGTTGCCCCTGGAGAGTGTGTGCCAGACGTCCATCACCAAGAACGAGGTACACTTGGAGTTCCATCCGAACGACGAAGCGGACGTTCAGCTCTCTGAAATGAGATTCTACGTGCCACCGTCCCTCGCGTCCGCTGTCGGTGATGGCATCGCCGATGACAAAGACGCAGCCAAGGTACAATACCATTGCACGCTAAGTTGGGGGTATATCATGTGACTACAAGACAGTTTACATGACCTGAGTGTTGCCAGGCAACAGCCAATGGGGAGAAAGGGGGGGGGGGGTGCCAGGTCAGCAATGTGGTGTGCAAAACGCTAGGACTTCTGGGCTCACATTATCGAGGCATTCAGATAGCCTGGATTGGAGTTTTTTTGTGCGCGTGTCCATTCGATCCTGGGGTGCCACGCCATCCAGAGGAGAGTTTGAAAGGCCCAGGATGTGAGGGTCTTGACTCAGTGGTGAGGTGACGTCCATGCTTTCTCTGCTGCTAAGGTGTGCATTGTTACCCACCCACCCAGACTGTAGAACTGGTACAGGTGGAATCCTGATAATTCGAATATGGCTTAATTCGAACATACCGCTTAATTAGAAGTTTTTCCAGGACCGATTTCTATCAATACGATTCCCACATAAAAAATTCTGATAATTCGAACCTCGAACTGGACATGTACGGTTACTTAGAAGTCCCACAGATTCCACTCACATAGAAAATGTGTGGGATTTGTGCTGATAATTCGAAGTTAGCAAAGTGTAATTCGAAGTTCACTGTACACTGTACTGGTCAGCTCAGTTTGCATGAGCAGGCTGTGCCAGTCAGTTCAGCGTCCGTAAAATTTGTGTCTAAGGTCCATAGCGCAACTCTGCGTGACTATGGGAGCATTTTGACATACATATTGAGTTGTGGGTTCATGTTTGGATAATTAGAAGTTTTTTCCTGGCATTTTGAGGTTCGAATTATCAGGAATTCACCTGTACTGTATTCTTAATTCGCTAACTACAGTGGCGAGTACCGCAGTGCACACTGACATGGTGCATCAAGTTGCGGATTCTTTAAACTAGTGAAACCTTGCTCAGATGGCAGGGAGGTTCTGCGTTTTGAATTTCGGAATATTTTTCGGCAGTTCTGGCTTCGAGAGTCGGCGGAGCAGTAGAACTTTCGGGAAAATAATTGAACGGAAAGAAGCAGTCGAGTCGGAAAATATTCGGAAATTCTAAATGCAGAACCTCTGTACTGTGTTGGTTGTGCGTGCGGACCCCATGCATGCGGTGTATAATCGTGTTTTCCCGCCGTCAGCCCAAAGACGGCTACTACCTGCTTGTTCATATGTTTAACTAGCCGTCTTCCCCCTTGCATTGTCGGTTGTATTGTTTTCGAAGTAGCCCTGGTAATAGCTATCATGCTGACACTATTTCCCTCTACAGTAGTGCAATTCCTGCTTCGTTTGCCATATCCGTTGCTTATTTTCTGGCTCAGGAATTCCACACCAAAATCACGTCGCATGCCGACATTCTTCGTGTGTCTGGCGATGCGCTCATTACGTTTGACGAAATGTCATGCTTGGTGCCTCGGTAAGCCACTGCTGGCCGTTTTCAGTGCGGTGTGTGTGTGTGTGTGTGTGTGTGTGTGTGTGTGTGCATGCGCGCGCACGTGTGTGTATATGCGTGTGTATGCGTGTATGCACATTTGTTGTTTTTCTTCGGGTTTTGGCGGTATCTACATTCATGTATTATGTTTGTTTATAATTGTATTTGTTGACACTAGATGTACTAGTAGTTACCGGTTTCTCTGATAAAGCCCGGTCTATAGTAGTGACCCGGCAAGGGTTTTTGAGAAGTAATAAGAGTACAATCTCTAGTAGTATCGTGGGTCACATTTGCCGGACTATTCAGCAGTACATTAACTGAATGTAAAATAGGAGTACTTGAGTACATTGTGTCATGCACGTTATTGATCTACATGTATTTCCTTTTTGGTGGCTATGTTATTGTGAAACATTAGTCTTGACAATATCTCTTTGAGTTTACTTCAAGGTAGGTTTTAGAAAATTCTTCATATGGTCAGTTCCTCTCTCTCTCTCTCTCTTTGTACGTTTAGATACGGAAGTTGGCTGATAGTGGAGCATTGAAAGATAAAAGCATAGTCCCTAATTCTAGCGCAGGTGGTCCTTGAACTAATAAGTAGCCCGGGCTTTCATTAGAGAAAGTATGGTATGCAAAGTTTGGGTTATTGGCAGCCCTTGTGAATCTGTTGTCGTGTGCAATCTACAAAGTCCTTCTCTTTATTTAGTTGCTCAGTTGTTGTTGTGCTTTGCATTGCCTTTTCCCACGTTTCCCTCTGCCATTGCCGATATAGTGGACGCTACACAGTGAAAGTATACCCAGGGTTTCTCTTCCTGCATGGCAAGTCGTACGACTTCACCGTTCCCTTTCAGTCCATCGTGCGACTCTTCCTCTTGCCTCACAACGACATGCGACAAATGTACTTTGTGGTGAGTTTCTGCAGATGCCTGCCTGCCTGCTGTTTAAGCATCTTGTCTTGTGTGAGGATCATGTATTCTAGTAATATAGGGTTGAGTAATTATCGGAGCAGCAAAGGAGGGAAAGGCTGTTGTGTCTTCGAGTTCACACTGTATCATGGGCGATCGACCAACAGGAAAGTGACACTTGCTCCAGGTAGTACTGCAGCGTTTGCACTAAGGCATGACTGTGATTCGTATTTGTCTCGGTCGTTCTCTAATATCTCCTCCTCCCACTGTTGTGTGTGTGTGCATGCGTGTTTCTTGCCTAGGTGGCTATGGACCCTCCCATGAGGCAGGGCCAGACGCGCTACCCTTTTCTGATTCTCATCCTCAACAAGGAAGAGTCGATGGAAGCAGAGGTGGCATTGTCAGAGTGAGTCTGCCGCTGTGCCTGTTCTTATCATGCGTGCAATGTGGCATTGCTTTTGTTGTGTACCGTCAATTGCTGTTAGTACCGCCATACTTCTGTTTCACACAGAGGTCATGTTTAATGACAACATTGTAGATACGTTGTATTTAGTGGCAAACCAGTGCACGTGGTGCCTCTCCATACAGCAACCAAAGAATTCCGCGGACAGGCCCATGGGCTTATCTGATTCAAAAGGGGCATCAGATGAGTGTAGATGTGGCCATGAGCTTATACGCCAATCACGATGCACGGCAACAAGATGCACGGCAACAAGCACACAGAGCATACTATAGTAAACCCTGGTGTAAGCGTCCTCTGGGTTTAGCGCACTGTGAGACCTGGTTCTAAAGACCACCTGGCTTTAACGACCGCTTTTGCTTGCGCCGTGGGGTGGTCACTTGAACCAGGTTTTACTGTAGTACTAGTATTGGTTTACTCTACCCTGACTGCACTGCCACTGCAGCACGTAAGTCAGTGCACTTGTGCAGTGATACATTGGCAGTGCACTATTGTAGGCATGTGTATTCCGTGTGATAGTATCGTGGTGGTGGTGGTGGTGGTGGTGGTGGTGGTGGTGGTGGTGGTGTGTGAATCCCTATTTTTCATTCTTGTCTTTTTCGACACACACACCACACCACATACTCCGACATACACACATTTGCCTTGCAAGCTGTTGAATGGTGTAATCCCAGCACAAGTTGTTATGTCTAACATAGCGGTTCGTTATCATCGCTTCCGCGATGGGCATGTGTGTGTGTGTGTGTGTGTGTGTGTGTGTGTGTGTGTGTTTTGTCTATTGCTGTGTACACATGGATGGCATGCACATGTCGGCATGGGGGCTTCTTCGCCCCACCTGTCCATGTGACTCAGCTGGAGACGTTTTGACAGAGCTTGTTTTACGTCCTGGATACGGAGCAAGCAACAAGACTCAATATGACACTGTGTCTGTGTTTGTGTTTGTACATGCGTGTTTTCATGCGTTTTGTAGAGACTCGGTTATTGAGCCAATAATAAATGTAGAAAGGAAAAGGATGTTGAAGCTAGGTGTCAGGCTGTCGAATGTCTCACTACTCTGTCAGTTTTGTCCCTAGTTGTTGCACTTTCTGACTGTATATAGTATCTAGTTACAGTGGTGGAGAGTTACTCTTAAATCGTTTCCGTATGTCCTTTTTTTTCTACGTTTTGTAGAGAAGAGCTGGAGAAGCAGTACCAGGGTAAGCTGACTCAGCAGATGAATGGGCCTATTTACGAGGTGCTGAGCCGCGTCATGAAGGCGGTCGCTTCAAAGAAGATCGTCGTGCCTGGCAATTACCGAAGGTAATGATCTTGG